CACTGGAATCCGACTTGGAGACACCCAAAGGTTTCAGCTTTGGTTGCCAGTTCGGTATTGACTTTTGAAGACCGAATGTGCTTGCTTCAAGCGCTGCTGCTGCACATTCCTTCAGCTAATTGAGAAAAAAAAAGTTATTATATGAATCGAACTATAAATCACAGCACTAAATATCGAATCAAGTACCTCTTTCAAAAAGTTGCCGTCATCGTTGTCGGACGTTTTTGGGAAAAGTTTGACGATTACACGGCAGGTGACCCAATTGTGAATGATATATTCGCTATCCGCATCATCAGTAGTAAATTGATATTGACCGTCGACAAAATCTGCAGCGAAAATACTGCCAAAGGATCCTTTTGAGATTTCGACCATGTTTCGAAGCCGATTCCAGGGAATCCATTGAAGACAATGGTATCCATGCCAGTTTATATGACACGCATTCTCTTGTGACTCGCGTATTACTTTATCATATTCTGCATTTCCACTTGTCCATCCCTCGGTCACTTGCTTCCAGTCACAGTCTTTGCACCAAGCATTGTCGTCTAGATAGAAGACACCACAAGAATGACAAGCGCGACGACTCACAAGGGCCAATTCTCCTGTCGAATCAAGTCTTGATAAGCCAAAAACTCTCGATTTCGTAGGCTTCCGTGATTCCTTATTTAAAAAATCCTCATCCTCTTTCATCCACTTTTGTTTTGAAGCGTCAACTCTATTATAGGAAAACACTCGTTGAAGTATGAGAAAGATTTCTGCACCATCATTCAGCTGCGATTCAGGAATAATGTAAGTACAAGCAAAAATGAGATTTTTTTAAAAAAAAAGAAAAAAAAAAGGGGCAGTTATATACATACTTCTCGCAACATGGTCTCGTTGGTATGGTCTTGATTGGTTGTAGCAGGGACTTTAACTGATACTTTCATAGATTTTCTGCGACTAACAACTTTTTGTTCGTCATCAAATGCAGTCTTGACTCGAACCCATTCAGCCGTATAAAGCTTGCCAAAATTGCCGGTGCTGATCTCTACAAGGTTTTCAAGACGCGCAGATGGTATCCATTGAAGACTAGGGTAGTAATATGCAGATTCGTCCTTTGTATAGGTATCCTTGATAATCTTATCGTAATCGGCATTGCCGCTGGTCCAGCTGTGGGGCAGTTCATTGCGTTCACATTCGTCACACCACTCTGCCGCTTCCGGGAGTGCCTGGCCACATATAGCACAAAAATTGCTTGCTACCAATGCCAATGCTCCAGTAGACTCGATTCGTGTCATACCGAGTATAGGCAACCGCAATGGATTCTCAAATTCCGTACCAGCCTTCAGCTATAACAGTCAAGATATAGATCGTGTTTAATAACTAATTAGACAATTTTATTAGTACCGTCGAATCAAGAGTGACATTTACCTGGTGCAGAAAAGACGAAGTATCAACCCGGAGTAAGACTCTAGTAGTTTTCCAATGCAGCACAGTATTACGATCTTCGCCCTCGAAATCCCATCCGCTATACTCTCCCTTTGTCCAATCTGCTGTGTAGATGGTCCCAAACTTAACCTTAGCCAACTCGCTAAGATTTTGTAGTTGATGAGAGGGAATCCATTTGAGACAAGAGTACGAGAATGAACTTGCATCTGCTTGTGTTCCTCGGATGATTGCATCATACTCGTCATTTCCTGTAGTCCATCCTTCCATCAATTGTTTAATGTTACACTTGTCGCACCATGGACCGTCGTCGCCAGGAAACAGCCCACCACAAGTATTGCAGAATTTTTCGGCTACCAGCACGAAATTTCCAGCAGATTCTTGGCGAGATACGCCCAAAAGTCGTAAGCGCTTTCCTGTGGCATTCCTCCTGAACACAGAAGTTAAGCTTGCATTAGCTGTTCGTAACTATAGCAGATGCGAAACGGGAAATTGGGACGTTAAACGCGTGGAGAAAGCACTGATCATCAAGTACTATAAATTGAGATCCCTTACTTCATGCGAAAATTCTTCCTCTGCACTTTTTCCTGAATTCATAACTTTAACTTCAACTCTTAGAGGCTTCCAACAAATCACTCGTTTTCCATCTGGCTCGAAACGCACGCAATCAAATTGGCCGTCCAACCAGTCGGCTTTGTAAACCACACAGAATTCACCCTTTGTAACCTCAACCAAATTTTGTAAGCGATCCCATTGAATCCATCGAAAGTAATGCTCGTTGTAATCACGCCCATACTGTTTGCGTTTTAATATCTTGTCATATTCCGCATTCCCGGTCGTCCACCCCTCCACGAATTGTTTATAATCACAACCAGCAGTGCACCAGATTGTTTCTCGATATAAAGTTTCGCCACAAACGTAACAGTTAAATGGTACGCTACTCATTTTGAAGCGAAATTATCAACGTGGGTGGTCGACTCATTGTAGTTGTTTATAAAGAACGTAGTATTCATAATTTTGCGCAGCTTTACAGTTCTCGTTTAGTTTGCTGAAAACCTGGTTTGGGAATCAATTAATTAAACTTTGTCACACAAACATTTTAATTAATCTTCTTCAGACGAGTAATCTGTGCCAGTTTTGTTTAGCTATTTGTAATATAAATTTTGGTGACTGTTTATGGACATGAATTGTTTAGTCAAGGCATCAAGACAATGCGTTCAAAGAACGAAAAGCCTTATTTATTGCCTCCCCTCACTTTGTTATACATAAAAGACCAACGCCACACGTTATATATTCCTTTGGCTGCTATCGATGCATCGTCATCACGTTTATTATGCCATCTTTATTGTGTACTAATGGTAATACAACATTATAACGACCCAAAGTTATATCTATTCAGACTTATGTCGTGGGCTTCACGATATCATAGAAAAGATTATGATCAACTTATTTACCATGACAATTATCCGCGTCTTGGTTCCTACTATCGTGTTAGTGGATCGATACTTGTTAGCCGTTATTAACGACTTGGTCGTTATTAACGTTGCCCGAATCACGCCACGCGGAGGCCAAGTATCGTGCGATTCACTCCTCTATACGATTCCCACCGTCCTATTGCCTAAAGAAAGTTACTGTATAACAATCAATACGATCATCGGGTAATTTATAGATAGAGCAGCTCCATCTCTATTGGGTTGGAGACAGAAAAGTGCATGCCAAAAAAATTATTAAGTTGGAAAAGAATTATGGTGGAAGAATGGGATGCCATCCAAGCAGTGCTCTATTATTTAATAAATTGAGGATGTGAAGAAATTATTGTAAAAAAAAGTATTTTATTAAATTTAAGCTTTATTATTATTTGACACAGGAACATTAGTTTCAAGTTTCCTTTCTTTCTCTCCTCTCCATATTGTTGTTTGAAAAAAAGTTACGCCGGAAGATTACTCACAATTACTGTGCCACGCGCATGTCTTTCCTTGCGCGTGATACATCTACAATTTTTTGAGAAACGTGCACGAAAATGCACAGTAAGTAAAATCACTTTCTGTTGATTTTATTGACTTGCATATTTATGACTCGCCAAGTATACGCAAGTATAATATCAAGGTGTTGTACATTATCAAATATCACGTATGCCTATGTAACTTGCAAACACTCAACTTTTTTACAGAATTAATAAACACATTACTTCACATTACGTCTATTACACAAATAACTGTTATTCAGCGTCCTTCTCGGCCTGTTCCTCTTGTAGTAAGACATACTCTCTAGTGCTATAACCAAATTTAACTACATCTGAATGGAATAACTCTACATATCGGGAAGGGGGGATTCTGTTACTATTGACATAAGTCCCATTTGTTGTATCGAGGTCAATAATGTATGGCCTGTCAACAATTGCAAGAGAATAAATTAGACCAATTCCGTCCTGTCGGATCATGTGCAAATAAAACAAAGCAACTCACTTGACTTGTGTATGCGTCTCTCCATAATCGTCAGTATGTGATATCTGTCGATATTGTAGAGCTGCATGTTGTTTGGAGCATGAAGGATGATCTATTGGTATATCCGCTACCTGTAAGTCAGTTTACGATTAGAATGATTATACGCAAAAAGTTCAAAGCCCGGAAAAAACTCACCTTTCTATCACGTCCTAGCAAATAGGCACTCTGCCGATGAACGTGAAGCAGGTCTACAAACGCAATTCAATCAATAACTTCCTTAGTAAGACACATAGACATCCAGCCGAATCATGCTAACCATTCAACGCTTACCAATTTGCTCTTCACCTTTGAATACATACAACCTCCATCGCCCAGTAGGCTTCCTTGCCTCGGCTGGCTCTGAATACTTCACCACAACTCCATTAAAAGTGTTAGTATCGGCCGTAAGCTTACCAGACAAGTTAAAGTTTGGTTCTACTTTGACCGGATTCTCATCCTTTGTCTGTTCACCGTCCCTCTCCTGTCGTGCATCTACTTCAGACCGTCTTCGATCCCGAGACCGAGACCGATCCCGATCCCGATCTCGGTCTCGGTCTCGGTCTCGGTCTCGGTCTCGGTCTCGGTCTCGGTCTCGATCTCGACGGGACGAAGACCTCGCTCTGTGACTTCTACTATTAGATATTATGTCCATAACGATAGATAGTAAAATAAAGTTCCTTTTTGAAATCAACTGTGGCAGCCTTTGAAACCTCAATACTGTGTGACACAAAGTCAATAGTTGGCACTGATCGCCGAGACGCAGACAACCAGTGAAATGGAATGATGTAGTATCCCGATTTAATTCTGAATAGTAACAAAGCCCACTTTTATTGAAATAATGCACTATTCACCCTTGTTAATCACATTAGTGTAAAGGATCCGCATAGGTTAGACAGTATGTATGTGACTGCGCGTAACGTGGCCTACAATAGAGGGTCTTTTAATTAGCATTCGGTTCACACTTTTACTTTTACAAGGTACAATAAACAGAGTTCAAAATTCATAAATATTGTTAATATATTTCGTATGAAGATGATGACATAACCAAATTATAATTAATAAATTTTAGCCTCAACCAGAATGGCAATCCAAGATCCACAAATTATGCTTAAATTTCGTACATATGTTGCCAAATACAGTTACTAACTATGTACAAAACTTCAATAATATATCTTTTTTCCCTCCCGCTCAATTACCTCCGAAACACGATTTTCATACTATTCGCTAACCTAGGAAGAGATTATCATCCAGACCCTCCCACTCCTGACGAATTATTGTTTGAAAGTCAATTGTTGAAAGCTTCTCTTTTTTTTATTATTAACCGCAAATTTACTTCTTTCTCCACTTTTCCCCTTAAGTATTGCCCACAAATTCTCAATTGGGTTTGTATCCGGCGAGTAAGCGAGCCAATCAAGAATGTGAATACTATGGCGCTCAAACAGGTCAGTTATTGCCCTTGCCTTGTGGATAGAGGAGTCATCCTGTTGAAAACGAAACTGACGATTTGCTCTGGAAATGTAAGGAAAAAGGTGAGTTTCAAGAATTTGTTGATATCTTTTAGCATTGAGTTTTCAGTGAACAAAACAAGTGCGGTAGCAGTATTGTTGTTCTGCACTATTAGACCAAGGTGACGACGGCGTTGTGAATTGGAGGTCTTCCAGGTATGGGAAGTGGCTAACAATAGACCTTTCTTTAAGTCGATACTGTGGATTTCGGAAAACCTGTTAAACGTATGATTTCAGCAGGTTTCTGAATGTTATTTGCCCAAAGCTGGCTTATAACTGTTCTTTGTGCTTCAAACTTTGAACCGGTTGACGTTTTTTCACTAACAGACGCGAAAACAGACAACTGCACAAGTTAGCGGTAACGTGATGCATAATACTTTAATACCAATTTTGTATTGGTTCAAAATTGGTTATGCTACGTGACTTTTTCACCGGATCAAAATTCCGGATATTTATGATGACCACTGTACATAATAATACTGAATAGTTGGTCTCCGAAGTTGTAATTGTGGCAGATTGAAATTTGCACTTACAAAGTACAACAGTGTTATAAAGTTGTCCTATCAGAAGGTGAGGTGCCTAATTTGGAAATGTCTATTTTCAATGATTACCGTTTACAGCATTTCCAAATTAGGCCTCCCTCCCCTGCCAAAAGTCACGAGACTGTTCTAAAATTTACTAGTAAAACAAGAACCCCTTTTGCAAACACTATATCATTATATATATGCTTCATTATTGTTGTCATAAAAAATGAGTTCGGGTATCTAGTTAGTCGTCTTCTTTTATTTCAGAGTGGACATCAAAAGACTTGCATATTATGGAATATAAATATCTGACAAAATGATTTGACGCAAATTACATTATTGGTACAGTGGTCGTCATAAATATCCGGAATTTAATCTCACAAACAAAAATTTTTATTTTCATTATTTTTGGATCCATAATCGTTTCGTAAGATAAACTGAAATTAAATTAGACCAATACATTTTATTATATTCTGTACAGCGAGTCCAGTCGCATAACATCAATTACAAATTAATAAATACACAAGTTTTACTTTTCACATTTTTCAATCTCTTTTAGTTTGCAATCTCCGCACTCTCATCGCATCCCCACACTCTGACCGTTTTATCGAAACCACAAGTAATCAATAACTCTCTCTCTGAATCAAACCATAAATCTCTAACCGGCGCCTCATGTCCCTCTAATTTCCGCAATATTTCTTCTTCCACCACATCAACCACACACACACTCTGTCCATCTCCGTCGTTTACAAAGAAATACTTTCCACTCGGATGCCAACAGTGTCTGGGAGTAAATAATTCGTCCACTGTAACTCCGTAGAAATTGCGCAGTTGTTCTGACGAACGAACGCGGAAGAGTATTACACGGGATTTATCTGTAGATACGAGTATGTACGCACCGTTGTTATGTGGTGATGGTGATATGTCCATGGCAGTAAACGACACATGGTCATCTCCATTCGCATTCATGTTGTATTTCTCTACGTTGAACGTAAGAAGGTCAATGTAGTGCAGATAATTGTTCTCCCGTATACTGGCGATGAGTGTATGTCCGTCTGGAAGAAAAGCAACAGCCTCCAATGCTGATGGGAATTTCATTGTATGTATCTTTACGTATTTTATCCCTGTCGGCGAGACAAAGGTAGGTGATCGAGGAGTCTGGGGTGTGGCGGGAGTGACGGGAGAAGTGGGCGTGACAGGAGGCACCATTTTGAAAAAGTTCAACGTATGGTCATAACTAGCAGTTATGAACAAACCTCCGTCGTTTGAAAACTTGGCCCTAACAATGGGTTTACTATGCAAATCTTTAAAGATCTGCACCTTGTCGTTCTTGACCACATCTATCAATGCCGCAGTTCCATCCAAAGAGGCTGTCAACATCAAACTTGGATATTGCGGATGGAAATCAACGCACAGAACGCCGCCGCTGTGATGGCTAAAGATACCAATTGTGTCACCGGTGAGCAGAGACGTTATCTTTACTGTTTTGTCAGCCGAGCCAGTGACCAATGTCGGAACTTGCGACGAGATGTAATCGTTGTCGATAAAGTTGCTAATGGGAAGGAGATGCGTGCGGACGGTTAAAATGTTGCTGGTGTGAATTTCGGGTAATGTTTCGTAGAGGCGTTGAGGGAAGTGGTTTTCGCCGCGTGTTGAGAGGTCGTCTTCGATTTGTCTTTTTGTGAGCAATAACAATATGGAAATTACGATTATTATACGTTGATTACTATTTAGCACAGAATCTTACAACTGTTCGTCCAAATCTTACCTCCTCAAGCTGAGCCTATTCAATTTGGACCCCAACTGACTGACGGCATATTCGTCAACCAACTTGGTCAGGCTTTCGCGTGGTTTTCCTGCTGATTTATCTTCTGCGATGATGTTTCCTGCCTCTTCTTTAAAGGCAGCGAGAGTTTTGCTATATCCCTTCTGCTCGAGAAATTGCAATACGAGAGCATGGGCAAGACTTTCTGATTTTGGTGACATGTTTGATTAGTTTATTGATTATTATTATTAAAATTAATTGATATTAGGTTGATCGATTTAAACGGTCGTTATTAGTGTAAGCGAAGCCTGCGCTTTGAGAGATAGAAAGATATGAAAAGTAACGTCTGTGTTGTTGCGTTCTTGGTTGCAGCCTTCTCCACAAACCCCACTTTAATAATTCTTGACGTTACACGATTGTATCATATGAGGACAATATTACAGATCTTCCAAATCATTTGGGAAAGGTTAATATTGTTTTCTCGCAACAATGTTATTCTTTGACGTTGCCAAAAGAGTCAGTACTAAACCGAAACCACTATTCCTGCATGCCACAAGAAATAATATGCGCTACATGTCAAAATGCATAGCCACTAAGCAATCACCAAAGAATAATATGCAATTTTCATTAAGACAATACATTCGCACCGAACATGAGTACACAATAAACAATAGAAACAATAGAACGGACAATAAACTAAACTGTAGAGTAACTCATGCTGGCCAAAATCTGTTACATTACCCCACAAACAGAACCTTATCGGTGTTCAATGTTCCCTTTTTACGTCTTCGTTCTCGATGCGCCCTCTTTACGGGCACATCCACAACAATCGCCTTTCGTCGTACATACATCCGACCTCACTACTACAGACCTCAAGCCCAGTCCCCCGTCCAAAAATTCCGAGCATCTTTACACCGTCTCGACAGTCGCTTTTCTCGCCTCTCTCCCAATCGGGTCATATATACCTTCATCGCATTGAACGTGCTGATATTTACATTATGGCGATACGCTATATACAAAGCTCGCTCTCAGGGTGATCCGCGCCTGTATTTATTTATGGTGAAGAATTTCATGCAAAGTAGAGCGAATTTCGAAGACGGGAGTTGGATATGGACTGCATTGACGAGTGCGTTTAGCCATTCGGATTTGGGTCATTTAGGTGTTAACATGCTGGTATTATGGAGTTTGGGAACACCGGTGAGTTGAGAAGGAGGGAAAGAGGGGCAATCGCAGACGGGATCCATAGCTTGGTATGCTCACAACTTGAGCAAATGAGCGTGCAAACGATTCCAATTACAATTATTAATGGAAGGGCTCGCGTGTTCCGTTGCTCTTACTAATTAACCTCCAATCTATCGATCCATACTGCACCAAAGACATTACAAGTCTTAGGACTGCGGCGATTCCTAACAGTCTACTTCCTATCCGCCATAACTTCCTCACTTGGCTCATTAATACTAACACTCTCACCTGGGTCTCGTCCTTCCAATAAACTATCTCTTCCCTCTGCTCACCCAGTTTCTCGCGCACCCTTGAGAACTTCTCATGGTGCATCAGGTAGCTTAATGGGTATATCCACAGTGTTCGCCCTGATGTTTCCGTGGGAGACGTTAATTGTTTTGTTTGTCCCTGCACCGGCGATAGTTGTTGTTGCGGGATATGTTGCTTATGATGCATACAGTGCGTGGAAGCAATCTGGTGGGAGGATTGATTCTGGGGCGCATTTGGGCGGGGCAGTGTTTGGGGCCGGGTATTATCTTTTGAGATTAAGACCCTTTTTTAGAATGTAGATGCGAAATTATTTTTGCCATGATAAACTTGCAATAAATGTCAAATGACGTGATATCTGCTTACTTATGCTAGCAACATTTTATTTGAAGGATTTATTACCAGTTCACGTTTTCTCACTGAAAGTTAGTCTGAATGAAGGACATTTGCTTACGGGATGTGTGCGCGTGTAATAATAATGGTAGATATTTGAAATGACATGGTGCATTTAGCTAAAGGACTTATAGGTGAGCCACTGGCAAATCGAAAAAACTCCCACCTAAACAGTGTCACTATCTCGGTCAGCGTGAAGAAATTCTCTACAAGTTTGAGCCTGCAACTATTTTAAATTCCATTAATTTATTAAATTTTAGTAAATAGCATCCAACGTCGCGAAAATCTTATAAAAGTTTATTTTTAATGAAACTGATGTGCTGGATATTCAATGTTTGCAAACCATGTCGTCATGCATATAAATTGTTCTTTAATAGTCACATGCTAACTAAAAGTAAATACTAGTATATTCAAAGTTACTTTTGACGATCGCAAGACATAATGTCATTATTTATTAATGCGAGAACCACAACTTATACACGTGCAGTCACAAATTGATTTGCAGATGGCTGTTCAATTAATATACACAAGTCAACATACTGTACGCCTGTATGTCTCTTCGGACTAATCTTTATTCGTCAAGTGCAATTGTAACACAAACTAAAGATAGCAAATGCATACTTTCGACGTTTTCTCTTTCAAGTTTAATCAGTTTTAAGCTTGGTTTTCGTCATGTTCTTCGCCTGCGAGTAAAAAAATATATACATTTTTAAGTGTTATCATTATCATTTTCTATTTCTCCCTTCGCTCCCTCCCTACTCCTCCATACACACCTTTCTTACTCTTCTTGGGCAAAAGCTCGGAATGAATATTAGGCAGTACTCCTCCCTGAGCTATAGTCACGCGTCCAAGCAACTTGTTCAATTCTTCGTCGTTTCTGATAGCCAGTTGCAAATGTCGTGGATTGATCCTCATTTTTTTATTATCCCTTGCTGCATTGCCCGCGAGTTCAAGTATTTCGGCAGTGAGGTATTCGAGCACAGCAGCTAGATAAACAGGCGCACCTGAACCTACACGATCGGCATAGTGTCCACGGCGAAGGAGACGATGAAGGCGACCTACTGGGAATTGAAGACCGGCCTGAACGATAAAGAAAAATAAAAGATATCAATACCATAGACGAGAGGCAAATATAACGCGACGAAAATAGTTTATATTATTTGCTTGTACTAGTACCCTTGCTGATCGTGATACGATATTGGCTCTGGACCCTTTTCCTTTTCCTTTCCCAGTTCCACTTGCTGAACTTGTACTAGCGCTAGACATGGTCTCAATAGAAGTGATAAATATGTGTCAAGTGCTCTGTTGGTTGGTTGTAACGAGTATGTCTTTTTGAAACGAGAGAATGGTATCTTGGGAGGAGGCAATGATGAGTGTAGCTACTACCATTTTATACGTAGTGATAGTGAATGATGGTGCAAGTGATAAGGATCAAGTCGGTTAATGAATATTAAACAGACGGTGATAAGATTGGAGCATGAAATACATGGCTTGTTAATTTACTATATTACACAATTATTCACGTCCCCAAACTGACGTAATGATTTTATACGTAATTTCTCATTATCCAATTGAATGTCTTGATTCCCAAAAAAAGCGTCAATTCGACTTCTCTGTCGCGACGCTTTCCTGTTCACCATTTCGTAGCGCCTCTCCGCCTTCGTTTCCCTCTATCTATTCCTAAAGGAATTCAGAACAATGACAACCTCCGACCGAGATCAACTGATTGACATGGGATTCTCCCCTGAAAGAATGTATGGCGAAGAGAGAATATTTATGAAAGAAACTCTTAAAGGATATGGTTATATTATAATATGTGTCAACTAACCCTAAATATTATGTTATATGAACTAATGTCAGTGACCACGCCTTGAAAGTAACAAAGAATGCAGGTCTACAGCCTGCCATGGACTGGTACGAATTCTTAATATTACCTGCAGCTCCTTATTATCATTATCTTGTTCGATACTTTGCCTCTTCGTTTTCCTAATAATTTAATAATCGCTCTTCTCCCGGTTCTTTATTCTATCCTCTTTTATTCCTTTCATTCCCCGCACGTTCTCTTTAATAAATAATCCGTGTAACATTGTTTTTTTTATTCACAACCATCTTGTCTCATAATTATCATAGTCTCTCGTTAACTTCCATCTCTCGTCTGCATTTAGGCTAATTTCACATGCAGACGATGACTTGGACGAAACATTGGGCGGATCATCAAGCGGAACTGCCATTGCATCCGGGTCCGGGACTAATAACGCTGAACAAGAGGAAGGTAAGACTAGAAAATATCGGCGGTATGGAAAGCAGGATGAAATACATATAAATTAAGACTGTCGAGTGTTGAGCGTCGAGAGGTTTAACTCGAAAAGATCTATATCTTCTTTCATGGATTTTGACACTGATCAGAGTGCTTTGGTATATTTATATTGTTTAGGAGAGATCAAGGCAGGAGAAGAGACTGCCCAATCTTTGAAATGTGACGATTGTCAGAGATTATTTCGTGATGGTGAGCTAATAAAGAAGTTAATAAGAATATAGACGGTATACTAAATACATTGATGCTTCTATGTAATGTTCTCTAGCATATTTACCAATCTAGTTTCTGTTTAAATTCTTTTTCCCCTCACCTCTTGTTTTCACATCCTTATACTCTTTATAAACCTGCCCATATGTCTCTAGCCGTATCGGCAGAACGTCATGCAATGAAATCCGGTCACGTCAACTTTTCAGAATCAACAACAGCGATCAAGCCATTGACTGAAGAGGAAAAGCTTGAGAAAATAGCTGAACTTAAGGAGAGGCTAGCTGAGAAGCGAAAGCTTAAATTGGCTCAAGAGAAGGAGGAGGAGAAGCTGAAAGAAAAGATAAGGAGAAAGTCAGGAAAGGACATGACTGAGGCGAGAGAGAGACTGCAGGAGAAAGAAATGCAAAAGGCTTTGATGTTGAAGAAGAAGGAGAAAGAGGAGGAAAAGGCAGCGAAAGCGAAGATCAAGGCACAGATTGAGCAGGATAAACGAGATAGGGCCGCAAAGGTATAATTTGAGTTTATTGTTGAATTAGGAAAAACGTTGGAATGCATTAGACATGGGAAAATATGTTGATGATTTGTGCATGTTTTGACAGCGCGAGGCTTCTCGAAAGGCTATTGAAAAAGTAGCGGCTGAAGAGGCAGAAGCGGCGGCAGAAGCTGCAAAGGCGCCAAAGCCATCTAAAGAGTATACTGAAGCAAGACTCCAGGTGAGTTTAATGTCTTATAGTAGAAAAAAACATCGATAATTCTTAGTAACGTAACTTTGTAGTATCAATTATGCTTTTAAATGTTGCGCGCTAACTGAATTTATATCTAATAGTTTCGACAGACATCGGGTCCCTCAATTACACATACGTTCCAAGCAACTGATACGCTGCAGACTGTTTACGATTTTGTTGCAGAACAGATTTTTGAACCATTCCAGCTGATAACCACGTATCCAAGGTATTCTATCCATAGATACACGCACCTTTGTTGTAACAATCACCACATAAATTCAGCTAATACGCTTGTGACAACAGGAAAGTTTTGGACGGTGATGACAGAGAGAAGACGCTCAAAGAACTCGGTACGCACGTTACTAGTATTAGATATTTATTTGATTATCGTAACTTGTGTTTTGTTTGACTTGTTGTATTCCCATATAGATCTATGTCCATCGAACGTATTGATGGTATCAAAATGAAAGTAATTTACTGGTTTCGAATATGATGAACAATGCCTTGCTGCCAAGTTTTAGTGAAGTACAAGCCTGTCCTATGGTTAATGTCAGTCGCGTCATAAATATATTTAATCTTATGGAGAGTTGGTACTTACCACTATCTGTTCTCTGTTTGTTTTTTGCTCAAGCTTGTTACCTAGAGAATTTATGAAATAAGGCTTATACGACCTATAGAATAAACATAATCAGCTGCTATATTCAAGGTAGTGGCAAAGTGGACTAGCAGGTCAAGAGTTCGTTTCTGCTCTTTTATCTACACGTCGCGTCTTGACCCCTCTATGTAGCGCGCGTTTTAGAATACTTCAAGTGATCCCAGAAACCTTCTGGCATGACACAAGACTTTTTCTTGTTATTTCGAGGGACAATTTCAAAGAATATTTTAGCCCGGTCTTTACTCATTCAGTCTTGACTGGACATCAATCCACACTTTTTCGAGGTGGCAAGGAGCGTGAATTGCCTTTCGACGTTCTCGGAGTTACTGTCGCAGAAAGAGTAGCATGCTGGAAAAAAAGTCGCGCTCTATCTCATGGTTAAAGAAACAATAATTGCTATGATTGAAAAGACCATTTCAAAACAGATTATAGATACTAGACTTAGAGCGACATGTTAACCGAAAATATGAATTACTGATAACGACAAAGCTGAAATCAATTGTACTAGGACACGCTTGAAAACTTCCTGGCGGGTGGTAGTTAGCAAAATGATGTCTATGATTGAAAAGGGTGGCAGTTGACTTGTATAATTATGCTCTGGAGCGGATTTTATTAGTTTTCTAATATATACACCTTGTTTGTAAGTTGCGAATTGCAGGACTATCGCTTGACTGATACAAGTTGTCAAAGACTAAATTTTTGGACTTAATTATCGGGAATGTAGAGTGACCCCGCAGTCAGTATGGGTTTCAATGTAATTTAATTGACGCAAGGCCGCGTTAGAGCTAATTTGCTGGTCAATTTGAAAGCAATTGATCTTTTGAGGATTGTGACTGCTCGACCAAGGTTGAAGAGGGGCTTTGAGAAATTGCATGAAGCCGTTAAACAGAATAAAATATCACATTGAAACGAAATCTTCATCTTGAGACACAACAAACAACACTGTCAAAAAACATATCTCAAGGTTAAGGATGCTAGTAATGATAGACTCTTTTAGATAATTTAAAATGCTTGTTGGGTATGTTTTTACAACTCGGATAATTTCACTGTTGACAACATGCAGCTGTTTCTCGTTTGCTCTGATGGAGGCGATTCAGAATTTCAGGGTCCTTTCCTGAAAGGTACTGTCACCAAATGTTTAATGATTCCATTTGCATTATCGTCGTGGGACGAACGAAAAGTGGTGGCGCTTTGGGTAAAGTTCTTATCTACTTTTAATCTCTAGCATTGATACCTTTATAGTCATTCGTATTGCCCAAACGTATCACTAAGACTAAATATATATAACAGAAGGCTAATATCCAACAATTGGGAATAATAGGTAAAATAATGTAACCATTAAATTTTTCATTATTGTCAAGAGTCATTGACTTTTTAGTTACCCACAAGTAAATAAGGTTCATGTATGAGCAAGATAAGAAGATAATAGTGGAGCAACATAGTTAAAACGTCGTACGTAATACAGTAATATTATTTACTATGATGCTCGTATATGTAACAAAACAAGGAAAACTGCAAAGATACTTGCAGTATTAGTGCATACTATGCTTGCATCAGAATGGCGCAATACAATCAAGTAGCAGTAGCTGATTGAGATGATAAAGTAATCCGATTATTACATGTACAGAGCAAGCACTTGAACGTACATAATATGCCTTGTTTAAAGCATAAAACTGTTGATCATGTTCCTGGTGCAAGCACAGTAACAGCCACATAGTAATAGTGAAATATGCCACTGTATGATAAAAGATAATCCACCATGCTAGACAAGCTGAATCGCGTCAACAAGAATCTTGTCAAGTGAGCTTTTGCAATTGCTGGTATGGACGGGATAAATAATATTATTTCAGGGGTTTACATCACTAACATAAAATAGCTTGACAAGAACGTTTGGGCGTCGTTTGAAAAATATTAGAATGGTTGTCGTTGGTGAAACATTGAATAATCAGCATTATTTGTGAGGCATATTGCAGTCATGAAAAAGTAAACTTGAAGAATATAGTTGATAGTCTTCCGGATCTCGATCCCATTAGGATAGCAGTGGATGCATGTTAATGTATGATGCCCCAATTTTTAGATTATTTGTCAAGAAATTTGGCTGATCAAAATTCCTGCCTTCATGTGATCAACGCCCAATTACTTATTCGAGGTGTATATACACAAACATTTCTGAGCTAAGACATTTACAGTCTAGACTAAAATTTTTTTTCAAGAATACTCTTACCATAAACGTCAGTCATAGTCAGGGATAAACAAACGTGTTATAGCAACAAAGAATAAAGTTCAATGAGTGATGGCGCAAAGGAAAGACAGTCAACTACTCGCACAAGGGGCTTATCACTTTGCTTAGACTCAAAGAAGTAAAAGGCCGTGGTTTTATCAGATTGAAAGAGATTATCACAGTGTAACCCGCAGATACCTGTTTTTCCAAACCACATCCTCGTCTCTTTGTCTGGTTCTTTTCACACACAAAAAGCTGAAACAGATACAATTTTCTGCTATATTCACCCTTTTTAATATGTAAACCATATGACAATACATCGGAACATTGCTTCGGACTCGTCAAGATGTCGTTATATTCGCATACATGCGCACACACAATCAATTTGCTTTTTTATCATTGATATCCGTACAAGGAATAGATTGACATGGGCGTACGATTTTCGCCATATCAATATCCATTTATGTTATTGAATGTAAATTGGGTTAACCCATTTTGGGTATATTGGCGTACAATACTCGGTGACCTGATCCTGGTGAAAATTTTTTTATACTGCGTATATTCTATATTAAAAAACTTAACTCGCCTTTTTTTTTCTCTTTTTTTTTTTTCGTTGTCTCTCTCCTCCCCTTTTTTTAGCACCATAAAAACCTTATTGCCGTTGTTACACACTCGTAGCGGGTGCGTTAAACGATCAATTAGTAAAACATGAAATCCTTTCTTATCAGAAGTTTCGTTACGCCCCATCATACAATATATTTGTATCGTTTAAAGCATGTTCTTTATAAGTTGTAAACGATAAATATGCATATAAAATATATTCAAGTCGATAGATTCTATTGTAATTTACCTGCCTAATTGAATTTACCCTTGGCCCGCGAAAGCACAATCAAAACTTGTACCTTATTATTTCTTATATGCTTAAATGGTCAGCTACAGGGTCTATCAAAGTTATTGTAATCTATCACTAATTGAACCGGAGTTTGTGTCCGTGCCATCTTCATTGTTAATCGATTGCTCTAACAAACAATTCAATAATGGTTGACTCGTCAACAATGCATATATAATCTTGTGGTCTGATATATTGTTGTTTTTATATTATATTTCTTATATATACTATAGAGTACGAAAAAAACTACCCAAATGCATTCTGTAAATCAGACTATAAATAGAATCAATAATAAAGAATTTGTCCACACTAGAAAAGTATTTAAACAACTGCCTTCGGAGAAAGAAATTATTTAGTCATCCTTGGATTGGTATAATCTCAACACACCCATCTCCTCACCAACGCTATATACTTTATACACAAATGACTCGATTCGCGCAATCCGTACATGTATATGACCGTTCTGTGGATGCCACAGTCGAACTTAACCTGGATTCGGCTGAGTATAGCAGAACGGTCACCCGTGCGATATTGGCGCACTTGAAAGTAATAAACCAAGGCAACCCCGTGTTCTCTACCAATCTTCCACTAGACGCGTTACTCGCCCCCAGCACCAAGAGTCGCAAAAACCGCGGAATCGCTCGTCCGCAAAACGAATTCGTCCTGTATCGAAAGGACATACAGCCAGAGATCGTCCGTACCAATCCGACCGCGACATTTTCCGAGATTTCGAAAATTGCGGGGGCGAGATGGAAAGACGAAAACCCTGATAAGAAGAGGTTTTTTACCATCTTAAGTCAAGCAGGGTACCTGGCATACCAGGAGTTATTCCCCGGGTATTCATACAAACCGAGGCGTGCATACAAGAAAAAAGAGGGCAGGTCTATTGAAACGAGTCGTGGAGGTAATAACGGCTGCGTCGAGTTTGTCGAACACGGGAATGTAAACTAAAAAGAGATAAAGAGCATTCAAAATGCACACAGCACAACACAACACAGCACACCACAGCACAGCACACCACAGCACAGCACAGCACAGCACAGCACAACACAACACAGCACAGCACAGCACAGCGCAACGGAAAAAGGAGGCTGAGAGTAGAAATATGTCTACCGTTAAAACCGGTTTTTGTTTTTTAATTTCTTTTTTACAGTTTAATTTACTATCTAGTTGGTAAATGCTTGTTTTCATATACCAAAATTTTTTTCTATTACGCCGAGATTAGAAATAACAGACTCTTCTCTATGTAATATTGAACAGTCATCTATTGAGTTGTGTAGATAATACGCTTTACTTTTTGAGCGTAAAGAGGAATTAAATATTCCAATACTGGAATTACTCAGGAGCTGTCTACTCAGAAATAATCTAGATAGTGTTGAGAATATTTACCATCAATATCGTAGTAAGTGTTAAATGTCTTGTACTTATTATATCAAGCTTAATTTCTACAAAGAATTCGATATACCATCTTCTTTACGCAATATTATATGCAATATCATCTTTATTGCAAGATAAATGTGTTATACACAAAAGGAATTGTTGAGAACTCTCTATTTTTGTTCTTATCCTCTTTGAAGTTTGCAAATGGAGTCTATAATAATCACCACTTAATTACAGAATTTGATATGCTACCATCTTTATTACAATATGATGAATGTATCAATAAAAATGTTATCAAAGAATTTGATATACCATCATCTATAAACATAAATGTATGGTGCATAGAAGTAATAATAACCGCCAAATAAAGCCGTATAGGAAGTACAAACGTTTTATCAAAGTGGTAAATTTATTTTGCAAGGTATTTAACAGTTAGTTAAGAGTGTCACATTCAAAATGGTTCTGAATTAAAAAAAAACCGCATCGCTGGGACATTTTGTCTGTTAATTAAAACAATCACTCATGTGAGATAACCGAAAGGGATATTGACATAATGTCAAACAACCTCACGAGATCTATACTCACTCGGCGTGATCCTCGCGTCCATTTAAATAGAGAAAATCGCATATCTTTCTTTACGCAACTGGTGCTTGCATAACGGTCTTCAATAATATTACAGCCCAGGACGAAATGTTTATAAAAAATTGTTAGACGAAACTGTTTGTTCAAGTTTGTTGCAACTATAATGAGACGTTCTAGCAAGCTAGTGGTGGTGAAAACGTTTTTCTCAGAACGATATGGTAATAAAGAAGATTTACACGAAAAGAGGTTATTGTTGTCATTTACTGTGATTACTACCACGCGTTTAAGCTAAGTTTGTATGTTCACATTATAATTCTTAGTTTTTAAACCATCTTGTGAAAAGTGTATGAGCGGTTGAAGTATTGTAATGCATTAAATGACCTCGAGACATCATCGGAGATATTTATGAATTAAGTGTAAGAGGAGACTTCTATTATAGTCTTAAAGATGTATTAAATGATTTCAACAATTATTGGAGATTAAACCAAATAACACATGGTGCTTGAAAGGAAGGGCATAGTATATTGTAATCTTGAGCGGTATGAAATGCATTAAATGTTTTCAACAAATCGTTGAAAATTTAACCAAATAACACATGGTCTTTGAGTCATAGGGGAATGCCTATCTCATCTTAAACAGCATAAAATGCATTAAACGATTTCCATAGATCATTGGAGATTGAACCAAATAATGCATGGTTTTTGGGTCGTAGGGGGAGCAGTCTATTTTGTTCTTCAGCTGTATGAATATGCTTTAAATGATTTCAACAAATCATTGGATATTGAACCAAATAATGCATGGTTTTTGGGTCGTATGGGAGCAGTCTATTTTGTTCTTCAGCTGCATGAATATGCTTTAAATGATTTCAACAAATCGTTGGAGATTGAACCAAATAACACATGGGCATTGATAGAAAGGGGGACTCTCTATCATGTTCTTAAGCAGCATAGAGATACATTAAATGATTTGAACGAAATAATCACAGGTTTTGAGAGAAAGGGGGCTTCTCTATCGATCTTAATTGTATAGTAATTATCAAAAAATAAGTTACGTCTCTATCTTAAACTTAACCCATCGAAAGCGACCGATTTTTTAATCTAAAATTCAGAAAAACGAGTTTTCTTGAACTGTATTCGAATTCACAGAATTTGAACTTGAACTTGTTATTTTGACCAAGTTACGCGTAATTTAGTCATGTTAAAAATAGTAAAATTTTTTGAAGGTGTAGACTGTATATGTTAATTATTTTAACAATAGTGTAGCATTAGAAAAGCTTAAGCAACCCACATATTTCGACAATGTTAAATTAATATTGTATTTAGACAGATTATATTCGAACAGTCAAATCAAGCTAGCAACAATGAGTGGATTTACTCATTGTTGCTCACAAATTGAGGGTCGACTTGACTATACTTGAAGAAAATTCTAATAAATAATACGCATTATCGGAACGGGACTTAATCAATTCCAGTTGTTCGCGAAATTGTATTAAGCACTTTATTAGAATCATTTCCAGTTGACATTATTTATTCGTATATGAGTAGAAAACCATTATGTCAGCTCAACGACTTAGATAATTTACTACAAACGCCGGATAAATTATTCAGGCGATGAGGTTTCAAGTCTAAGTGAAGGTGTGTAAAACGTATTGAAAATTTATAATGAATTATGGAGCATACGGTTTGTGGAGAAACCCAGGAATTAATCCGCTCACAGACTCAACCGTCGCTCAATTGTGTTGATATGGATTACGCTGTAATAGGGCGATAATATTAAATTAGTCAAGAATTGAAGAATTACTCGCAGTTTAACTTACACATTAAGAGATTGTAATTGTTAGGCAATTCATCGTATTATGAGATCTAGAATCACTTGCATTTCGCTATCGACAGAAAAATTCTCAACGCGCATACGGAGAGTTAATGCCTTGAAACTATGGTAAGACGATGCGCATACGATGTTGTAAATGCTCTCCGCTCGAAACGTTGAAAGCCCATATCACTTCTTGAAGGAATGCGCGATTGGAGAAAGTTCGTGATCGAGGTTGATTAGTAAATCTATTGAATCATTTACGATTGATGTTAACCACTTAAATGTGGAACGTTTGCTATTGCACAATCACGTTCTCAAATTCAAACGCCATGCGTTCGATATGCAATAGTGTTGTACATTCGTCGTTGTCATGAATATTTTACACAGCCTACCTAGCATTATTCTACTATATATAGTAATCGAAATAGTTTGTATTTCTGCAACATGTTGGCCAATAAACTCTTTATCTTCTGTACAGTCGTTTTTCTACATTGACTCCTTCTTCCAACATTTATCGCAGCTCATCGATTTGGAATATCAAATTTGAAATTGTAAAGCGTACTGAGAATCGAAAACAAACACGAGGGATGAGCAGAACGCATGCTATGCGACAGTAGAGAACAATGTGTAGAAAAAGGGTTTGTCTATATAGATAATCAAGTTTGCAATCCATATTAGGCAATAAACTTATTTATTTGGAACCAACACATGCGCCACCGCTCAAATAGTACAATCAATGAAAATGTATAAATAAAAAACAAACTCTACTTTGAACCGTTGAACTAAATTATTTATTTATTTATTGTCAATGAAGTTGTCAACAATCGTAATCCCGTGCATAATTTGGGCTCTATCGGCTCAACTGGCTTTTTGTGATATTACAATAGACTGCAATAAGCCAGCACCAAACTCCTGTAACTTTTACGCAGACTGCTTAGAGAAGAAGTTTTTTTGTGGAGCCGATGGATATGCAGAACGTTATGGAATCAAGTATTGCCAAAAGTTTACGGATCTGATGGACCAGTTCAGCGATGCAGGAAAGAAATGGTACGATGGTAAACAGTATCCATAAGCGTTATTATGAAAAACGCCGTTTTACTGACTTGTTACTAGGGTAACCGATGTCAAGCTTTGTCTCCAAAACGCACTAGTCTCAACGTATCAAAGTGATCACGCCCCCTGCACACAAATAACAAACACAGCACTCAATTCTCATGCAAATTGTTATGTTAATTCTGGCTTGTGCACGCTGTCTCCAAAGGATTGGTTTACCATACTAAGGACGATCGATGCTAAAGACTTGATCGGAAATAAACAAGTTCTTTGGGTAAGTGTGGGATAATGACATTCATATCATTTTAATACGTCATGGCACTAATACAAATGCCGTTGCTATAAACTTGTCATAAATTACATAGCAATCGATATTGTCAGCTGGTAAATGTGCTGCCTTTTATGCATGGGCTGTCACAAGAATATTTCTGTAAAACAAAGTGGTTTATTAACTCGCTTGAGTTTTTGTGAATTATCTTTTCTCATATAAACGTGAAGATGTGTGTTTGTTTGAACATGATTTAATCTAAAAGCTTTTACTTTAGAGGGAGGGTAAAGGATTATTCGTTGCTGTAGTAAGGGTGAAGTAATGTACCGTACATAAAACTGTACGGGGAGTTATCGTGTTATCTAATTTGATGCCTGATTTACTGTAGCATAGAACAATTGTTTGCTCCCGCGTCAGTTGCTTAAATGGTGATTGCAAGCCATTCAATTTCCAAGTTCAAAGTATGGAAGCCCTTTTCTATTTTCAAAAGACAATGAGCTTTGCTGAATCCACCTGTACTCGTTTTAAACAACAATTATGTCCGACCAACAATTTATATTTATTTAAATTGCCTCTACATTGAACGCGGTTACACCATTAAAGTTTAATATTTTCATAATAAATAACCACAGACAGCCGAATTACGTAATATACGTAATATACGTATACGACGTCATTGGCGTTTTCTCATAGTTTGTCTCATCAAAAGACGTTTGCACTATGCGAAGTGAGTAATAAATCCATTAGCGTGCATTATGCAATTAACTTTTATTGACTCCGCCAGTCTTCGTATTTTTTTTGTGTTATATTTCATAGTACAGTCAACCCTTATCTAGAAAAATGGTGACTATATAGACAGGGTTGACTAGCAAATTATGACAACATTCATAACAATTGATCTGGGCTTTTTTTAATAAAAATAACTCTATTTATTCGAATAAGTGGTTATAAAGACTTTTTAGAGATCTTTTTAATCTTCTATTGTAACGGTAACATGCGTTAGTCAATTGTTCAATAAAACTCTAACCGATTCAGACCTGTAATGGAACCGTACGCGCTATCATTTAATATAAGAAACAATTCTCCAAAGTAAAACTACTGTGCCTTGTCTCAATCAGTTTCTATTATTGCCACATCATGTTGGTCTTTCAGACAAGTGCTATGCACTTGACAGGCTTACTCTTTGACTTTAACTGCCTATCCATGAAACACATCGGCCACACAAAAATTAATAGTATATTGCGCATGACACGAAAGTCACACTTCCAATGGTTGGATCGATGTCTAATCCTTAAGTACAACTTGCCACTATATGATTGATTGAATAATTTAATTAGCCACCCTATGAATGTAGACGAATCACGTAAACATGACCTACATTATCATTAGAGTCGTTATGGGGATAACACGTCACTTCTTGCCTACCGTCATCCAACAATCTTCTATGACTGTGAAGCTTGCCATTGGTTTCGATATGCTTTATGTTTACTATATCATCAATTTTCCAAAAGTCATCGCTTTCTGGATTAGACGTTGATAACGGTGTCCAATAATTGTTCGAATCGTGTTGACCGAAGCAGCAAACTATAGAATTGGGAATATCAAAGCATAATTTATCAGTTGTGCATCGTCAGCCACAAGTATGCGGGAGCGTAACAGCAGTTGACGTACCTTCTTGCTGAGCCGTTACTGGGGAAGTTATTACATGCGAACTTAGCATCTCCCCGGTTGCAACATGCCGTAACGTTATTCTTGTGTTGTACCTTACGTATTCTTCCTGTGAACGTTCTACCTGTTGTACCATCCAATAATTGTCCCTATCGTATGTATTCTTGTTCCCATACACCTAGAAAACAATCAACATTCATGTTAAATCATTGGCTATAACATCAAACTTTGTTCGACATATTCTTTAAATATATATATGCAACACTAACAATTTGAAATTTACTCCCGGAGGAGTAGCGATCGATATTACTCGAGAGGTAATTTTCGGTGCGAACATGCTGTAATATAATGGTGTCACCATATCTTATACATTGGTTTAAGCTGGCGTTTAAGTCGTAGAATGTTTCTAGTAAAGTTCCCACATCAGCTATATCACTCGACTTTTCTTCAAAGTTCTTCCTGATTGTCTTGTTCATGGATGCATTGATCAAGCATTTCCGTACAAATTTCACATCGTTTTTCAAGCCGAGCTCAAAAACCCAGTTTCGTATCAGATTAATAAAGCCAAGCAAATCGTCTCTGCCATTGTACTTGATTACCGACAATTTATCTCTAATGCCTTTTAAGTGTAGTTTATACTGTTTGCACGAACGTAATGCAGAGACGAGATCCTCCAGAGTGGATATATTCTTATCGAATTCTATGGTTTTGTTGACCCGAAGCAAGGCAATATCTACCATTTCGTATTCTGCGAATGTTCTATGAAGGAGGCAATATGCCCGAATCTTATTTACCCAGTCTTTTGGATCTTGCGAACCGTCGTATTCTGGAAGAGCCTCCATGATAATATAAAGGATCAAAGTCCAGTTAGCAGATCATTTATATTTAAAAAGCTCTTGTGTAACTTCTAAATGTCATTTGCTCGCGTTGTAAACGTCTGTTTGTGTTATTACCAAATAAATTTGTTCTTGGGCTTTAATTGAAAATGAAACTTTAACATGCTGTCCTTTTATATAGTTCCCCAATTCTAAAATTCGTTATTAAATAATTGGATAATTCGATTAACTTCTACGCGAACGTGACCATGATATAAGCCTTATCAATGGCTATTTTACTTTGACGTCGAGTTGTTTTTACTATGTTTATTTACATAGAAAGAATGTGGCCAATTTCATCCATGCTAAGTTAACAGATTGGTGTATTATGTCTCCTTGTCAATAGCAAACTTTTCTTATTCGAATTGTCTAAGCAAAACTTATGGCCAGGAAGATAAAATACGATTATTTATATAACCTTAATCTATATAATATTCTTATAATTAATGGTATTGTTCTAAAATATTCGTTAAACCTTTTCGCTAAAGTATACTTTTATTGTAATATCCATTAATTAAAGGTAATGATAGATTATAATCTTTGTACATTTACCGAACCATTATTATTTTTAGATAATGCGAATTGGTCTGAAAATAAGTTTCTATTGGATATGCAATAGAACCCTAACCGATAACGGACCTGTACATGCTACTTTTAATATCGATATCAGAAACAATTATCATTATGTACTAGTATGTACGAATGCCTTGGCTCATTCAGTTTCTATTATTGTCACATTATATTTGCCCTTCAGGCAAGTGCTATGTATTCGATAGACTTGTGATTTTAATTACCTATACGTGAAAAATGAAAATTACACCTATACCAAGATAACCACAGAATTATCGAAAGTCATTTTCCAATGGTTGGATTAGTGTCTAATCCTTGAGTGTTACTTGCCACTATACGATTGATTAAATAACTCAATTAGACACCTTATGACTTGTAGACTAACCACCCGAATATGACCTACCTTATCGTTATCGTCGTTTTCGTAAAAACACGTTACTTCTTGCCTGTCTTCGTCCAAAAAGCATGCATGACTGTGAAGCTTGCCATTGGTTTCGATATGCTTTATGTTTACTATATCATCAATTTTCCAAAAGTCGTCGCTTTCTGGATTAGACGTTGATAACGGTGTCCAATAATTGTTCGAATCGTATTGATCGAAGCAGCAAACTATAGAATTGGGAATATCGAAGCATAGTTTATCAATTGTGCATCGTCAGTCACAAGTAATGCGTGCGTAACAGCAGCTTGCTGTACCTTCTTGCTGTCCAGATATGGGGGAAGTTTGTCGATGCGAATGTAGCATCTCCGAAGTTGCAATATGCCGTAATGATATTTTTGCGTTGTACCTTACGTATTCGTCTAGTACACGTCCTGTCGGTTGTACCATCCAATAATTGTCCTGATTGTATGTATCCTTGTTCCCATACACCTAGAAAGACAATAATAAGAAATCAACGTTCACGCTAAATCGTTAGCCAGTAGCATCAAGCATTATTAAAAAGTGTATTATATATTACATATCCTAATACTAACAATCTGAAATCTACTCCCGGACGAGTAATGATCATGATTACTGGAAAGGTAATTTCCGGTGACAACATGCTTTAATAGAACCGTAGAACCGTATTTTAAGCATTGATTTAGACTGGCATTTAAGTCGTAGAAAGTTTCTAGTAAAGTTTCCACATCAGCTATATCACTCGACTTTTCTTCAAAGTTCTTTCTGATTGTCTTGTTCGTGAATGCATTGACCAGACATCCCCGCACACATTCTACATCGTTCTCCAAGCCGAGCTCCAAGACCCAGTTCCGTATCAGATTAACAAAGCCATACAAATCGTCTCTGCCATTGTACTTGATTACCGACAATTTGTCTCTAAGGAATTTCAAGTGCAGGTTGTATTGTTTGCACGAACGGAGTGCAGAAATGAGACCCTCCAGGGTGGATATATCCTTATCTATTTTTATGGTTTTATTGACCCGAAGCAAGGCAATCTTCACCATTTCGCATTCTGCGAATGTTCTATTGAGGAGACAATACGCCTGGATCTTGTTTACCCAGTCTTTTGGATCTTGCGAACCATCGTATTCTGGAAGTGCCTCCATTGGGACAAGTTTTCAATTACCCACAGCAGATCATTTAAAAAGCTCTCGTGTAACTTGCAATGAATTGTCACCTATATCCAGCCTTGTGCAACTAAGCAACACTGTTCTTAAAACAAGAAAACTCTATATACCATGCTATAAATAGTTAACGTTAAGACGGAATTATTACATCAATATGACGTATGTTATTATTGTGATGTATTTAATTAGTAGCAGTAGTAGTAAAATTGGTTACGACGTTTTAGACTAGAAGGATAATGTCAGTAAAACATTGAAAGAACAAAAGTCATTAGTATATTGTCCATGGCACAAAAGTTGGTGTCTAATCCTTAAGTACTGCTTGTCACTATACGATTGATTAAATTACTCGATTAGCCGCCTTATGACTTGTAGACTAATCACACGAATATGGCCTACCTTATCGTCATCGTCGTTTCCGTAAAAACACGTCACTTCTTACCTACCATCATTCATGTAACGTTCATGACTGTGAAGCATGCCTTGTTTTATACTTGCTAAATCATCAAGTTTCCAAAGCCGTTGCTTGCTAAATTAATAATGGTGCAGTAATCGTTCGAATCATACTCGGCGCAGCAGACTATAGAAATGGAATATTTGAACTAATCGCGCGCCGTCAGTCACAAATAACAGCAGCTGATGTACCTTCTTGCTGTCCAGTTACTGGGGAAGTTATTCGATGTGAATGTAGCATCTCCCTAGTTACCACGTGCCGTAACCTTATTACTTCTTTGTATCTCACGTAATTGTCTCGTGACTGTCTTATCTTTTCTACAGTCCAATAATTGTCTTTATCGTTTACCCATATACCTAGAAAGAATTCAACTTTTACGTTAAATCTGTTAGCTAATAGCATCAAACATTGTTAAAAATATATCCAACACTAACAATTTGGAATTCTACTGCCGGAGCGGCAAAGATCATGATTACTCGAAAGATAGAACATGGTTTAACATAATGGTGTCACCATATTTTATACATTGATTTAAAATCATGGAATGTTTCCAATAAGGTTTCCACATCAGTTATATTGCCCGACTTTTTCTTCAAACTTCTTTTTGATTGTTTTGTTCGCGGATACATTGATAAGACAATTTCGTACAAAGTCTACAACGTTTTCCAAGCCGAGCTCAAAGATCAGTTTCGTACCAGATTAACAAAATCAAGCAAATCGTCTCTGCCATTGTACTTGACTACCGACAATTTATCTCTAATACGAAGTGCAGAGACAAGATCCTCTAGTACTAGAGTAGATACACTCTAATTTTATGGTCCTGTTGATCAGAAAGCAAGCAATTTTACAGCTTTGTAAGCTATTAAGAATTTGATAACAGTGTTGGGATTTTCTCACGCAACTCTATATATTGTACTATAAATAGATGATTAGATAATATGCAACAAAACCAGACAAAGTGAACATCCTATTATGCCTCGTTTTGTTGTTCTAATCTACCCATATAACTCTGAGCCATTATTTCTGTTATGGTTGGAGTTTTAACTGGTGGCTCATCTTTCCTTAAATCACAGAAGCAATCTATTCTATTTCTCATAGCTATTGACCACAATCATTACAATGTGTGTTGCTTTCGCGTATGGCTTCCAAACGATGGTCGTCCACGACAGTGAGAGACTTGATCTTCAAAATTTGAAAATATAGATCTATGTCGGAATAACGATTAACTTCTCATTTTTCTATAATTATAATTCAAAGATGCGTCTCTCTTAACTCAAACTTACTCTATATCATATTGAATCGATGCCTCTTGTTCGGCATGCTCTATGTCCATATCGTCGTCATTGATTTGTTCTAACTTGTAGAGCATCATTGTCAAGATCCTTTTTGCATTCAACACAAATATAAGCAATATCACTGTAATCACTATTGCTGGTATTGTAAGATAATATTTTGTAAGTAGCAGTTAAACTTCTTTCTTTTTCAAAAGAGCAAAAATTGCAATGCCATTTATCTCAATAGCTTGATATTCTAACTTCATTATTTATCTTTTGTAAAATGTAAGTGTCAAACTCTTTTGAGTTATTGCTTTTGCTTGCTTAATTCTGCTTTTTACTTTGCTAGTTAGGAGTTTAAATTTGTTTTGTTTCTTTGGTAAAGATGGTAGTTCTTGAAGTTGCTTGTTTGTCAAATAATTCTGCCATGCCACAACATTTTCTAGCATCTCTATTTTTCTTGAAGCTTTTTCTAAGTTTTTATCTTTTTCTTTGCTTTGCCTTACTCTCCATTTTCTAGCTACTTCAAGAGCATCTAAATGGCATTTAGAAATGTTTTCCTCTAATTCTAATGCCTCTTCCAATTCTCTTATTTCTTCTTCTAGTTCTTTAGTTTGTTGATCTTTATTGAAAACTCGACACTTACCTTTTTTTAGTTCAAACGCTAATTTTACAGCATTTTGCTCAACACCAGCTATTTGGGGGCGGAACACAACAACATAGGTTGTGCCACGGGCTGGACCACTGTTCCAGTATTTCTTGTTCGAATGAACATCTTTCACTTTATGTCCAGTGAGATGGACAGATCCAATGAGGACGTTCTCGATATAATCAGTGTAATCTTCAGAGTGTGCGTCTTCTTCTTCTTCCTCACGCCATTTAAACAGTGAAGGTTTCTTGCCAAATCTTGGGAAGTCTATCCACGATATTATTGAACGTATGCCATAATGCCTCTGTAGCTTCTGTCTTTTCGCCGCGTTCACAGAAGATATTGACATCGTCTCGGCTTCGTCAAACCGGCGTCTAAGATCATCGATCTTAAGCGAAAACGTGGGTGAAATGATGCTGGTTTTATACCAATTTCAAAATTATAAGCGTTCATTAAACATACATGGACTTGAAACCAAACGACTGCTCTCCTAATGATTTATTCTAGTGTTTACCTTTTTATTACCCTTAATACTTCCCCATTGTTTCTAAAACGATACAGGTTTTTCTGGTCATGAATTGTGTCGGATTTGTAGTACTTGGGCACAGCGAACCAAAATTATCGTATTTATTGCTATTCTTACTCGAACAGAATCATGGAAATGTGTCCCGATTATCGATAATAATAAAGAAAGATATATTTGCTTTATGTTTCTAGCTTTCGTTTCTTTCTTGGTTCATCATAAGTTCGGGTTAATGCTCGTTTAATGGCTTTTATTTTTCGTTCTTCTTGATAAATTTCATAAGTGATTTTTTCTGTATCTAGATATTCCTGGAGAGTTTGGGTATTATTGATTTTAAAAACATATGGAGCAATTTTCTCTCCTTGCTCTTTCTTTAGAATACTTCGAATAGTGCTGTAATTCTTGGGTTCCATAGTGGATTTAATGTAAATTAGTTTCATATTTATATTTTTTATATAGAGATAATCCTATATTAAGCATATTGTAATTTGGGGTAAAAGTTTATCTCAATATGTTGAATGTGTTAGTCACAATATCCTGCCTGCAATTTAATAAATTTCTGTATGAGATAATAAAAACGTGTGGTTAAAAGTTAACTAATTTGACTAATAACCAGCTTCTCATTTATGTCACATAACAGAATGTTCACTTTGTTGCAGCTGCCCCATTTATTGCAAGCACATAAAGAGTGATTTTTTACCTGCTCTCTATGTAATTTAGATTTTATTGTCCTTTATATAGCCTTTGAAATGTTAGATATCAAGATGAAAACTCCATTATTTATACAGCAAAGCCGAAACCTCAACCAACGCGAACCTAATTTGTTAGCATGTAAAATTATACCATGTATACTTCATACAAGACGTTCAAATCTACACGTGATGCAAGTCTCACCATTGTTAATATATCCAAGGAAGTTCACGACAATAATAATAGTGTATAGCAATGCTTTTTATCACAAAAGTTCCGCATACGCTGTCTATTGTTTACTTAACAATGCCACAACTCCCACTTCTTCCGTTCTTCATCAGTACCCTCGAATTTAAAGTTGATTTGTTTGATCTGCAACGAGAATGATAAGTACGAGATATAAAATGTGACAAGTTTATGCAGACAGGTCTTATCGCGAAACTTTTTGATTTATTCCCATACCTCTTCAAATCCTTCAGATAGTGTGGGCTCTTCGAATTTGGCCTTGAATGTTCTATATGCAATATCAGGTATAAGCTTTGCCTACATCATCCAATTAAAAATATAACATTAGTCAACAATGTCCAAACTGCATCATAAATCCTGTGCTCATATATTATTACACAATCACAATCATATTCTCGTCCCCGTCCCCTCATTTAGTTTGCATACCTTATTACTTGCCTGAGATCTATAACAATTGTTATGCTTGGCCAGCCTCTCTCCACCAACAAACCAGAAACATCTAGTTGGAACACCGTAGAGTTTGGCTATCTCAATAAACTCTTTTCTGCCTGTCACATCAGGGCTGGTGTTATCCACAACAATGCTTTTATCAGCGGCCAATGCTTGATGGCTACTTTGGAGACACTTTGCACGAGATTTGAGAGTATCTTGGTTGATATGAACGTATCCCATTGGAACAAGATGTTTTTGGACAAATGTAGACTTGCCTATAGCGGGCGGGCCAACGCATATAATTAGTTCTGGATGAGGTGATTCTGGAACAAGGGGCGTATCGCTTGGTGTGAAAAGGGGAACTGAATATTAAGAGCGGTGTTGATAGTAAAAGATTTTTGTTTAAAATTGAAACAGGTGTTAATCAACCACAGAGCGATTTGGAATATATTACACAATGGACTCTACCTAAGTGCAGCACTGACGGGACCATATGGCCAAATCAGACACGACCTGCATTTATAGAGAATCTGCATTTATAAAGAGTGAAATACTTAATGGTCTTATAATCTCGGGACCAAACCAGAGCCTGCATTTAGGACAGTGCCTGCACTTAGAGAGCTGCACTTAGAGAGCTGCACTTAGAGAGCTGCACTTAGGGAGCTGCACTTAGAGAGCTGCACTTAGAGAGCTGCACTTAGAGAGCTGCACTTAGGGAGAGTCCACTGTACTTAAACTAGACACGTCGCCATACCATTTTTCATGTCTTTTGGATCAAAGTCACCATAAAAATATGGCATGGTTTCTTCTCCCTGAAAATATTCTTCCGGTGTATAAAACTTCAAGCCAATATTTTCTGCAAATTTACTAAAATGCCCCATGTAATATATAATTCCAATACTAGTTAATATTCAAACAATCACCACCTCTTAAAAGAATGAATCTATCGTCCGAGATTCAATTACAAATTATTTACCGATCAGTATCAGCCCAATCAGCCGCCTTTCCAGGTTTCCAATCTGCTAGACGTCCTGCAGCATCACCAACATAAAAGCTCTCGCTTATGTCTGTAGTGTCTCAAACAAACTCAATTATCGGTAAGCGTTCTTACGATAATTCTTCCTGTAACTTTGTAATACCAACATACCAATATACACATCCGCGTTACATTTTTCGGTCAGATACCACCAGGTTCCAGTCATTGGTTTACGATATTTATCTTTGGAAGTAGCGATCAATATCTGAAATGGAACTTCAAGCTATTGCGGGCAGGTAAAAAATACATATCAGGGGCATTAATAAACATGCCAGCCAATGCATATAATGGCTTTCTGAAGCATTCGGTGATACCTGAGCCGATATGTGACGTATTTTGTTGAGAAAATCCCTTCGCATTTTTTCGTTCTTTTTCTTTATATCCAGTCCAGCTTGATTTGTTATGATGACAACTTTATATCTATTGTAAAAACCACATCCGGTATTAAACAATAACACTGCTAATGGTCAATGTCAACAAGTCTCATCACATAATGAATGCCCGCGCACTTCATAGCTCACCCCTTCTCATATACTTGTTTCAATTGCCTGGGTATGGTTTTATACAGCCACAACCAATCATGCTCGTTCCGAGGATGGTTCGATTTCCCTTTAGTTTTGATCAATGTAGAATCCTGAAGAACGAAAGGGAGAGAGCGCATCAATACTATTGACGGGATTAGATTATATAATATCTCTCTCTGAAACCCGCATAACAATCTCACACAAACTTCTATCATAAGATTTGCAGATTCTTAATCTAAATTTACCAAATATTTTTTCATCCATTCTTTATTGCCTCAAATGCTCAGTTCTCCAATCTCTCATTTTGTATCTACTTCACCTACCAAATCAAATGCAGCAATCTTTGTTCTTGCTTCGATTCTTTCCTTGCCAATCCGATGCTCTCCAATTATCAATGATCCATGATATGAATATGTTACCTCCGTCTTACGTCTCGGGGAGAAGAACGGATGTGACGCTGCAGGACGACGAGTAAATAGGAATTAGTTTAAGAGAATTATATAAACTGTGCGGTGATGTCATGAATTCAAGGGAGAGGGAGGTTAGGTTTAAAGGTATAATTATTTGAATGTGTAGGTGAAAGCGGACTATACTTATATAACATAGTTTAGTGGGGGGGTCTATCCCTAATTCATCAATTTCAATGACTCTTGAACGTACTCGTAGTAGTCTTGGCAGGAGACGATCCGTCGTCCTCTCCATTGGATAGACGTCGTTTTACATGAATATTGTAAGATTTTCTTGTCCCGGAGACGGTGGTACTGCTTGATTCAACTGTTGTGAATACGGACATTGTAGGGATGTAAAGTAGTATGAAAAAAGCGCGTCGAGTGGGACTGGATCGGCATTTATATAAATACGTTGCCGCAGATGCATACATACCACTAGTTATGTACTGGTCCATCGTTTGGTGACTTTATTATAATATTACAAAGTGAACATTGTTCATAGTCAGTACTGCGCGTATTCTTTTTGTACATTTGCCTGTCGTACCAATCATTGTTAATTTACACGTGTCTCATAGATCTAATGAATTTCAAATAGACTTTCAAAGCTGATAGTTTTTTTTTATGTAAATGGGCACAGAGATTATTTAGTAATACTAAGTATAATAATAAGATTATTATCCTAACCCCAAATTTCTATCACGTGTTAATTTGTAAATTCTATTGGTCGTACCAAGTCGTATGATTATGATGGCGAGAATGCACGCCCTATCACGAAAACAAAGATCGTTATTCGGCTGTGCGGGAAATAATTTGCCGGCATTCTCCTGCTACTAACGACTACTACGACTACTTTCCGCTTTTTTGCTGAGACTGTGAATCAACTTCTAGCTTTTCTTTGTTGTAAAAATTATTTGAACATTGTATTGGGCACTTTTTGACGAGTTAATGCATAATATGGGGAATGCATCTATCAGTATCAATATGATATTTTCCCTCTAAACTAACATCCTAATCTGTAGAAAGCACATAATATTTTAACTTTTCCGGTCGGAGAATTCATCCTAGTTTTTTTTGGTTAGGATCTGTATATAAGTCATTAGAATTGTATTATGGTTGTACTTGAGAACATGCTAATATGTTTTCCAACATAGGAGTTCTCGCTAACTGCAATGGCATTTGAATAGAGGTGCCTGATTAGAATAGTTCGAACAATTCTTCTTGTATTAATTGACCTAGAATTTCCTCTACAATAATGCCCAGTAAGAGAATGCGATAATACATGCTTTTTAAATTCCCTTCGGGGACTCTTTTGTCCATCAAGGATGCTAATTGTCATCCACTATGATTCGTTATATATAGTCACTGCTCAAGATCAAGCGTTCTCTACAGTCACTTGTTTTGCCAGAATATCTATCCAGAAGATCGAAATTAGGTAGAATCGGCATATTTTTAACTTGCGTGTGTTAATAATATTAATTAGATTTGCAGGCTTTCTAACGAGGATACCGAAGTGTAGTATAAGTGTGAGCGAGAAACTTGCATGAGTGGATACGTTTTACTTGCATCACCTATGCAAATAAGAAAAGTCTTTTTGAATAGAAAAAAGCCTATAATTGATTGCTAGTTCATCTTGTAGTTGCGAGCTTGAGGAACAGAAATTTATTTCAAAGTTAACTTTGGTTTTATGTTTATTGTAATCGCACTATTCTTGATGTTATAGTTATTTGATTGATAGTAAGCAAGTTTGGCGCGAGTTGGAGTAACTCCATTATAGTCCCTTATAGATATATATACTGACCCATAATTGTCAATTGTTATAGGGTAAACAAATTTCCCATCAGAGTAACTAACTTAAACTGTCTTACACACAATCATAATATTCACATTATAGTCCGATTTACATCGTCAGGCACGGGACCGAGTTTGTCGCACCACGTACTGGGTAACGTAAATACCGGGCACGCTGAGCCGAAGGGTCTGAAAAACACTTTGCCATGAAAGCAATTAGGAACCTGAATTTAGACAATGTCAGAAGCGACTTGCGTCGTAACTTGACTCAAGTGAATCCACTAGGTTGTGAGAGCTTTTTCTGAGCATACAATTGTTTGGCACTCACGCGTACTAACTAGTTCTTTGGGGTTTCGTAATGTAGTCAGCGCTGATATGAAACACTTGAGTCACAGCATTGCAATAGGTAATGATAATACACGAAAGTAACTTTTCCATAGAAAAGTGTCCCCGTCATTGATTAATATCCTTACTAACCTACTTTGCTATAGAAAGAAATGTATGGAACAATCTGAACAATTTGGCATTCGAGCAGAACGAAGCAGCAAAAAGCCTAGCTGTCTGGGGCAAGAGTGAAGGCGAGGATTTAAAGGATATCACTGAAAAACTCTCAGAGTTAATAACCAAATTGTCTGAAGCAGAGGGTAATTTAGGTAATTAAATGCTGTCAAATTTATATCATTCTCTCTTTGTTGCCAATCAACTACAGTTGTCTCGCGTTTCGTTTTACTTGACACTTTTTCTCTCTTTAGCTGAGAAGTACTCGGATTATCGTAATATTCTCAAGGTAATAAAAACCCGTGAAGCGACACTTCGCGAACAACGATCCAAGAAAGAGTCTCTTTGGAATAAAATAGAAAAAGAAGAACGTAAAGCCAGTCATTCAAAACGTCCTGAGACTTTTGAGCCAAAGATTACTGAGTACAAGGAAGAACTTGAAAGAATAGAGAATGAGACTATGGCTGGTACGAAGATTTTTTTTGGTAATATAGTCGAATCTGTTTGGCGAGAATGTAACAATATTTCCCCCCTTCTATTTCGATTCGTTAGCCGAAGCCGCGCTAGCCGATTTCAAGCGCGAGAAATTTAAAGAGGCAATGATGATTCAGATAAATGCTTTCCGTCTGTTTGCAGAGAAGTTAAACATTATCACTACTTCTGCAAAAGATGTGGTTGATCAACTTCCGCTCACGCCAATCAAGCCTGGGGAGCCTAGGCCTCCTTATTCAGGTTTGTGGAATAGAAGTTTGTGAATAGAATACAGTGCATCAGTATATTCGTGTTCATATAGCTCGTTTTCTTTCGTTTTCCTTGCTTGTATTCAGGAAAAGAAAAAACTGCTCAATTGGTGTCAAACGCAATGGCTGCTCTTGCACCTTACACTATCCCCGCTTCAACTTCTCATCTCTCAACTTCCCATCCTTCCGCGTCTCATGCATCTCCTCATACATCCGCCTCCAATCGTAGACTTTCACATCCTCCTCAATCTGAAACCATAGCAAGCTTCCCACCTTCATCTACTGCTGACATTGCCGCATCAGCTCCACCTTTAAACGCCATTCTTCCCAGCGCTACTCATGGAATGTCAAGGAGTGAAGCAAATCTTTCATCACCGTATGCACAAAGTGAAGATTCTAGTGGAGTAGATATAGTAAAGAAGAGTGATCCGATAAGAAGAGGGGTGTATGAAGAGGATCCCAATGAGGCAGATCATAGTGACTTGGAGCAAACTGATGTTGAGGTTGAGAAAAGAAGGATGAGTGCTGCAAATAGTGACGGGAACGTTGAGTCTAAATTTAAGGAAGTCCTTAACACGCCTACGAGTCCGCTTGAACAAATGAAGGATAGCTTGGGTTCTCCTGTAAATGAATCTACCGCAAAATCTGTATCACCCAAACTTCCACCCCGTCCACCCACCCCTGGTCCTCTGCATACTCCTCCAATGTCTCCTGGCGATGAAAATTTCCGTCCCGCGGAAGCTTCGTCTATATCACCGGCTACTACCAACGAGGCAGAAAATGTCATCCCTACTTTGAACGAGCCAGTAAATCCAGGAGAGGACGTTGGAGGAATAAAAACAGAGATTACTGGAGAGAAGAATGACCAGAAGAGTGCGGACGTGAAGACAACGGAAATGCAGAAAGAAAACTCGCGAGATAGGAATAGGTTATCTGTTGATCATCACGAGAAACATGTCTCGTTTAGTGATGTCGAAGATGAGATACCGTAGTCTGCAGAGGATTAGAGTGGAAGATTCAGGGGACATTTTAGGCTTGGCTTTTCAATATCAAAATTTTTTTGCAATCTTATTTTTGGGTCAATACGAAAATGTCAGACAATCAATCAAGTTTAAAATTGCTAATGCTTATATCAATGTAAATGATGCATTAAATTTCTCGAGTACTTTATTGCACCGTCTCTTGTTTCATACTTCCTTTATTATTAATAATAAATAAATGATATATTATCTTTTCAGTCGATATTATTAATAAATATAATAAGAATTAAATTAATCTTGCGAATAACCATGTTATCCTGAACGTTCAATTATCAGCTCATTTCAAACGATACTACCGTAGCTTGCATATTAAATAGATACTAGAACGATTCAAAAGGAAACAAGATGAAGGACTTGAAATGAATGAGTTGCTGGCTAAAGCGGAGTAGTTTGAACACCAAGAAATTGTAAATTTGGGTGCTCTCATAAGCTACTCGCCTGAAATTGCTAAAATTAGCAATCACTGTAGGAGAGGTAATTTACTTCCCCCCGAAATAGAGGAGATACCATAAACAGTAAAAACTGGGTATTTGTATTACCTTTAAAAGGTACCAGACTACACTGTAAGCATACAATACCCTGCCTCCACTTCATACATTTGCGACTCAAAGAACTTGTCAAGTAATCAAGAGGCCCAAGTACTTGAGCGAATTTCCGTTGCCATGCTTCATTGTTCATTGTGGCCATCGTCTTAATCTCAATGGATGCTCTTTTGATCTTACTATCGATTTCTATAATAGATAAATCATTTATGTAATTGAAAACTTGAACTAAATTCCAACTTCCTATCTCGAAGGAGGACATTAAGGTGGGGCAAACGTCAGCTGTCACTAAGATCTCGTTCTGATCTTCTCTTCCTGTACCATTGAACATAATTCGTCCTTTAATCTCATTTGTAAGCCCTAATTTCGTTCTATCACAATATCCCACTTGATAACCGACTCAACAATAGACTTGGATAGTCTGTTTTTGTTGTTGATGCACGCAGACTTTCTACTATCTTCCCAGGTAGGTTATCAAGCTGATCGGAGAGCTTTTTGATCAATGAAGAATTTGACAAGAATGATAATGTAGACAATATAAGAAATAGATGGACGAAATAAATATACAACTAGAAAAGTAACTCCAGTTAGTGATAAATCCACAGTATAGAAAACCACATTATTATGTCTACTCTACCCTATGTACACATGCTCATATCAGCGAGCACACGTAGAGGCAGCGAGTCGTTTCCATCATTCTCCAATACGAACGGCAGGATGTGGCCGTTGTATTTGAGGCGGGTCGCACCAGGGAAAACGCGGTCACATCACGCATTCTTAAACATTCTCTCCCTTTGATTCGTATCAGTTCGCTCGTATTGTTGTATTTATTGTACGGCTTGGAAAGGAGGCCAATATGACAATGTGATCGAGACCTTAATCAATGACGTATTATTAGACTTTTCACAATGTAATGCGCAGAAATCGCGTTATAAAACAAAGAGTCGAACCAATTCACTCACATTTAGTGATCGCGCCACACGTAATAACAATTGTATGTAAAAAGTAAAACCTCTTTGTCTAAACGGAGCAATTTTCTTGTGATTTGTAGTCTATATGACAGCACAATGATATGAATGGAGACCTTGTTTTCATTAAGTTGGGACAATTTGCGAGTTTTGTTTTTTGTTTAAAGAGTTCGAATATGTAAAATCAAGTAATATAAAGCAGACACATTACGATAATTGATACATGTATTTTTGTCATTATCTTTATTATTCTTTAAAAAACAAAGTATGTACAGTACAATACATTTGCATTTTCACTAGAGCGATTGCATGGGAGGAAAACTCGAACCCAAAGCCATTGCTATACTTTGGTCGCGCTAGTGAAATCTATGCTACACATTGTTATTAATGCTATTAATGCCTACTTCTCCTCCCTCCTTTTCTTTTTTGACCCATTCTTGAACTGCTTCGACAGTTGTTTTTCGAGGGTTCGTTTTTCGCAGATAGAAGTTTTTTAAAGTTGAGGCAACGCCTTTTCCCGTGGATTTGAGTGGCCACTTCGGTAAATGAAAAGTCTGAATCCAGCTCAGATTTCGTATCAATGTTTAACAGGTAGCGTCGCTCACTGAGCGGCTTACGAGATTTGGATTATACAAACAGAAAGCCATTGCTGCAGCTGTAATAAGAAATTTCTACCTTCGAAGAACAAACCTGCGGGAAAAGACCAGAGAGACAATTCAACGTTGGGATTGACGAAGAGAAATATAAACCATAAAGATGACAAAAATGAAAATAAAATAATAGATGGTAGTGATAATGTTCTGACCCATTCTGAGAACGGGTTAACCTGTTTCAAGCTTGTCACATATTTTTTCGATGCTATCACGTAGACTATGTAGTTTGTTGGTGCAAGAGATTATCTAATGTGACAATCCCGAAACAGGTCAAATCCCAGAATGGTCAGAGCAATAATATTATTAATAAAGAAGATAATGAAATCTAAATTTGCACTGGAGTGACCAAAGAATAGGTTATACTCATCAATGGCTTTGGGTCCAAGTATCTTCCTCCCATGCAATCATTCTGGTGCTTTTATATTTTCAAGAGAGATCGCATTCTATAATTGAGATAATAAAATTATGTCTACAAAAATCAAATTATTGTTACGTTAATTCGACTCTTTGGTTACGATTGAAACGCGAATCAAGACTCAACGAATGCGCTCAAGCAGTTCTTTATCAACAAGTTGAAAACTATAAGAAACAATCTTTCGTTGATAGGTCGCTCGGTCAGTGAAGGACTTTGTGGGAAGCGTTTACGTTAAAATTAGTTTCCTTAAGTCTCTTCTATTTTTTGGTTCATAATAAGTTGGGGTTAATGCTCGTTTATTGGTTTTTATTTTTCTTTCTTTGTGATAAATTTCATAAGTGATTTTTTTCATTATCTAGATATCGAGTTTGGGTATCATTAATTTTAAAAATGTATGGAGCAATTTTTTCTCCTTGAGAATGCTTCTAATGTTGCTGTAATTCTTTGGTTCCATTGTGGATTAGTTTCATGTATTTTATTTTTATATAGAGATAATCCTATATTAATCATGTATAGTAATGGAAGTTTGCTACATAAATTTGTGTACAAGTTATTGCTGTGATAATCAAAATGTTATTAGCCAAATTAGTTAACTTACAGCCACACCAGCTATCACATAATCAAATGTTCACTTTGTCTGGTTTTGTTGTAGCATGCCCCATATTTATTAGAAACTGCTCCGATTGTATTCGATATTTAATAGTATCCGGATACTTTGTGTTCTGGGGCTATACCGGTTGAATCTTTTTGAACGTCTGATATAACATTTTTTTGGCATTCTGGACAAGATTTCATATGGGCCGAACGCATGTTTGCGCACTGGATAGCTTGTTATAAGACCTCTTATATGTCTTACCACAATTATTATAACAAAAAAAGAGTACGCAAATTGACAAGAAACATGGACTTTTGAAGTTGGAGAATCGAAAGAAGAAAAAAAGATGTCCTGCTAGGTGGATATGGATACCTGCAATATTCTTAAACAAAAACTCATTAAAGAAAGCACAAAATCTTGATGAAGACTCCTACCTAGTTGCTGACTGTTATGGGAGAACAGAGAAACCTTTTACTGTTGACTCCATTTTAATTGAGATCAATGAATTATGTTTAACCTCGATCTTCCAATTACGTACGTATCATATCCAGACAATTCTGCTTGCATAAACATGAACATAATATAAAGAGAAACATGGGTAGATCAAAATGGTTGCGCGCATCAAGAACTTTAAATGCATCAAATTTTATTTTGGCACTTTGACATTGAATTATGAATACGGGAAATGTAATGTCAGTAGGGTACAATAAACATATCTTCTCCTATTCTTTGTTAAGACTAGCGCGTTTCCAAAAATTGTGCAAACCCGAACACGTATATCCATGATAAAAGAGTAAAATAATGTGTTTAAATGTGTTTGTGCTCGTTTTATGTGTTTTATTTGTGCGTTTTATTTGTGCTTTTTATCTGTGCGTTTTGTCTGTGCGTTTTATTTATGTTTTATACATTTTATACTAATAAGTAAAGTTAAAAAGATCGAAGGATGGAATTAATTAGCTTATCCAAGAAGGAGACATCTGCTATTTATCTACCGCCGTCACGACTTCAAGTCCAGAATAGCACGCTATGTCGTTGTTTGTACGATATAGTAATAGTACATCGAAGATCGTGATTAAGCGCTCGAATATTGGAGACCATAGTTGAACCTAGTTCAAGTATCGTCCAATCGTAAGTTTATTAGTTGTTTCTGTCACACTCATCTTCCTACTGCGGAATGGCTATTTAAAAATCTAACTCGTCCGTCGTTATGAACTAAGTCGTCGTTATGGATCAGCTGACTATTCGTGTATGAATCATTACCTACTGCATTGAATTTGCTGTGTGAACAAGGTGACACCACCTCATAATTTATTTCCCCGGTTGACGTGATTGTGGGGGGGTTTCAACATAAGCACGACTTCTCACAATGGTGTCTGACAACATGCTGAACGAAATAGCCTAGATCTCATGACATATTGAAAGAAGAGTTTTATATATAATTCGGAAAGAATTGAAAAAAGCCAATTTTTTTAATTGGTCACCAAATGCTGAATTAGGGAGTAGACGGGAATAGTAAAAATTGTAACGAAGCTACAAGGTTAGTTTTTGAAAGGTCTAAATGGCGTGGCGGGAAATTACATCAACGTAATATGTAGATCTGGTACGGTCAGGTGACCGGTTTCGCATATGATCGTCTTGTTACACTTATTAAGAAATCCATTAAGCTGCATTTACCGAATTGATCCATAAACATCACGTTGATTGTAAACACTTTGATTTTCGTCACGGCTTTTATGCAAGCAGTCTGATGATCCACCAATCATACATTTATTATTATGCTTATGTGGCATTCGAATATCCGAAATTCTTTTTGTGGCACATTGCCCGGACTCATACCTATATATATACATAGACTTATCTATGGGTTGATTAAACACCAATAAGCGACTCAACAGGTTCTCAATCCAGTAAAGTGTTTATTTGGAGACAGATTAGTAATTGGCGGGGGATACAGTAACCGTAATCCTCGAATTTCCGTTCGACACTAGGACTTCTCTGCTTACCACAAAACTACTTATAAAGGAAATACCCAACAATATCGGCCTTCAACAGCATTGTCTGAAATTTTCCCTCGGCAACAAGTATTACCAATATCCCTCTTTGCTCTCTTTTGCTCTGGTATTTCTATTCTTGAGTATCGTCATAATAAACAGTCCATTTTTACCGCTCAAAGATTCGAGCGTACTGTATGCCTGTCTATTATGCTACTGAACATACTCGTCGACAGCATATGCGAGCAAGCATATATGCTTGGATGAAATCAAAATATGTGGGCTTTCGTCTTTGCAAATGTTCCTAGTCAAACGAAATTCTCTCAAAGAGGCTCAAACGAGTAGCATTTATTGATATCTACAAAGATACAAGTGGAATGTGTCCATCGCTACGTTTGATTAATGCTATGCAAACTCATATCTCTGCGCACAATGCTGCATTTGGCGCTGCATGTCTCCAAAAAGAAGGTGTGGACAGAAACCAAAAGGAGCAAAAGGCGGTTCGCAGACTACACTTGCGCTATAACAGTTAGTATTTGGTCTTATATCTATATTGTACAACGTTGTTGACCGCACCAGATGCATAAAGATAACCCCGCACGTCCTAATAGACTCTCAGGAGCGAAGATGTCTTTCAGATAGCGCCAGACAATAATCTGATTCACACGAAAAGAACGTCATTTGCGCTGCCCCGCAAATGAACAATAACATCGACTGAATAGCATCATATAAGCCAGTTTTCTCAACTACAATACCAGACTTTTGGTTATATACCCATCCCTCAAATGTACCACAAAAAACCCACACGAAATAATGCGTGGAATACGTCATCCATATACAGTTAGCATTCACCTGTATTACAGACCACGGCATTCTTCATCCCCCTTGCTTTATTTATCGATTCGTACAGATGTCTCCCCCCTTTTCACTACCAAAAAAACAACCGGGTCGTTTCTTCGTTCAAGTCAAAGCATACAAAATAAATGGTAATGTCTCCAACAGCACAGCTATCTGAATACTCTATCTCCCAGAATAAACTTACTAGTTTGTCTGAACCCACGGGTTATCTTCATGGACCGCAGCAGCGAGAGCAAATGCACCACTATCAACAAGAACAACAGCCACCACCACAAGAGCAAAAACCACTGCCGCAAACTAATTATCACCTAAGTCAGCCACAACAATCCACATCAATGAACAACAACCAAACCACTTACCAACTTACCCATACAACGCACGATCGTCCATCTGCCAGTTCCTCCTTCAACATACTTTCCGTCTTAAATCCAGAACCATCGCCACCCTCTAGTCTTGGTCCACCACCAGCAGACCACATCACAAGAACGCTACCTTCCCCTAGACAACAAGAACCACCCACACGAACGATACTACCTCCACCGTCCGCGATCACCCAACCTCAGTACTATGATCCTGTAAGATATGGCACGAACACTCTGCAAGGCCATGGGCAGAGTCAGAGCAATTCAACCAGTTTTACATTACTGCCGCCGCCATTTCCGCTGGCTTCTTATCCAACTTCTCCAACACAACCATATTCCTCCAATTCTCATAACAGTTCCAATACACAGTCGGGGTACGGATATTCATATGGTTACCGCTCGCCAGGCTTTAATACGCAGACACCAGGAAGTTTCAACACTACACTAGCCCCTATTTCGCAAATTCCACCACCTGTAACTTCGCCCTTGTCAATGGCACCTCCACGTCCAGAGATTGTAAACTCATGTAACTTGTCGCCGACGACAGCACAAGTTACGAACCCAACCCCGGCGCCACCTCAATATTCCGCTCTAAATGAGTCTGTGGCAGACGACGCTAATACACTGCTCACGTTTGCCAATAGCAATAAAATGGATATAGACGAGAAAACGACTTATAATAGATCAAACGCACAAGATATGCCGCCATATTCTGTACAGACGAATGCAACGGACAGGCAAGTAAAGAACGAATACGAAAACTCTCGGCTCGCTCAGCTTCTCGACACTGCTCTTGAGCAAGAACGAAAAGAGCGTGAGTTGGCTGACGAGGAAAATAGAATGATACATAGAGAGCATGAAGAGCCGAGAGAGTCGGATCTGTCTGCTAAGGACGAGCGGTCGAGAGAGGAGAGTGTTGCAAATAGTCCGAGTGTTGAAGAAGAGTTGGATATTGTCCAAGACGATCAGGAGATTGTTGTGGATGTAACTACTTCGAGGGAATTGGTCGAAAATAATGCAGTAAACTCTTCAGCGCAGTCGGTCAACCAGTTCGGTAAGCATTACGACTACGACGAGCCCTTGAATGATTATGAGGATCTAGTAGAAGTTAGTACCGATGAAGTCATGTTTTTTATACCGAAGAAGGAAGAATACGAGAGTGAAAAACAGGTCGAAGCAATGAGCCAAGATGATATGAACAAGAACGTGAAAGTCGAAGAAACTTCACCAGAATTTTCCTCATCCGGAGACGAATTTCACAAATCACCATCCTCCTCTCGTCGCTCAAGCATCTCAAAAACTGTCCTCAAAAAAACTTCCATCAAAAAACCTAGTGTACGTCATCTGTCAGCTAAGAAATCGCTGAAACGCAAATCGTCGTCTTCAAACTTGCATTCTCCATCCGGTGACGATAATGCTTTGCGCATTGACCCCATTTCTGGCTCTCCTTCCATACCCAATACTCCCAACAGCAACAAGAAGCTTAAAAGAGCTAATAAGCAGCGGCGCAAGAATTCCCAGAGTTCGAGCGTAACAGCATCACCGATGATCGATCCGATCGCCGGTAACTCTGTAGGAGCGGAACCGATGGCGGTAGATGAGACGCAGATCATCAACAAGTTATATTGTATATGCAGGTCGGGCTTTGACAACCGGTTTATGATTCAGTGTGATGGATGTAATGAGTGGTATCACGGAGACTGTGTTAAGATATCGGAAGATGAATCACAGTTAATCGACAAGTATTATTGCCCGGACTGTGCAGGTAAGAAAGTTTGGATGACTATTTATGAGAAGAGGCTTTCGTTAGTAACTGTCTAACCTTTTTTTCTACACCTTCTATGTATTCTTCTACGTACTCAGCCAAAGGTAATACTTCCTCGTGGAAACAAAAATGCCGAAATCCACCATGCAACAAACCAGCTCGCATTCCGTCATCCAGGTATTGCTCCCAAGGTTGCGGATTAGCATTGGCACAGACACGTCTGCGTGAGAACGAAAAGCGTGCCAAACTCATGCTTTATCTGCAAAAGCCCCAAACTCCCCCCAAACCATCTACACCAAGCTCCGATAAGCCAACTCCCTCCTCAAACAAACGTTGCACACGAAACCTGGCAGCCGATTTGGATGATCGTGCTCACTGGAAAAAGGTTCAGGAAGAATGGGACCGTGTCACGAAATTTTCCGAGGTTATTGAGCGACGAGAACAGATTTTAAGAAAAGCCATGGCGCGATGTGAGTCAGAAGGGAAGAATGGATACTCACCGTGTGGGTTTGATAACCGTTTACTCCTGAATGATAAAGAAGTGATGGAGCTTGGCGATGCGACTGATGATAACGTGAAGATTTGCAAGGAGAAGAAGGGAAGTTGCGAAAAGCATCGTTTGTGGCAGAGTGTTAAACTTGTAGAAATTGATCAGGAGAAGGCTTTACAGGTATATACTTTTTTATATTGAAATAGTGTCGTTGGTTCTTATGTAATAGGGATCATGACGTTAGATCGACGTAATAATTATATCAAAGTTTATGAACCACGTTCTAATCTTCCTTTGTTTCGATTCACAGTCGGCGAGATTAGAAAAGCTTCGTGCCGAAAAAAAGCAAATTGGTATTCGTATGAAGAGGCGCAAAACTGACTGGGAATCCGCGTTATTGAATGGTACAATAAATCACTCTTCCCGCTCTCGTATGGCCATTTTAGTTAATAAGGGTGACAGTGACGAGAAAATCACCACCGAAGAGACAAAACATTCATTCGTGGATATTGAAGCATAGGACAGGAGTCACTTAAAACGCCAGTGATAGACTCGCTTTGTAGTAAGTTGCTGTTAGCAGATGAGTTAATTGTTAGTTTGCTTTGGTGTTACACTCATAATGAAAACGCATAATCGCTCAATGACAGTAAAGGACATTGCATATTCTTTTCCGTTAGTATATTTGAAAATAGTATCTTTGTACAGTTTTTAGTTTAATTCTATTAAAACAATATATTTCAATTGATGTCTGATGCTGTGCACAGCCTAATCATTTGGTAGAGGATTTCTCATGCAGACCTCTTCTTATACTTTGTAATTAGTTTGTATAGATTTTATTTAAATGCTTGGTAATAAAATAAACTCCTAATAGAGTTGTGAGAATCAGATAATGCTGACCATTGGAATTATTTTGATATTTACATTCGAGTTTTGGCATTTGTATATACATTTTCTTCTATAATAATAACCCGTAAACTTGGACCTTTGATTTCCATGCGTCAGCATTCCCTTTTATTTCAAATGAACACCATATCGTTCAGACTTTTGTTTTCAGCTTGTGGGGCATCATTAAATATGTTGGCGCTACTTGGCTGAATATCATATAACTCTAGGAAACTCTCGAGATCTGGCGATTCAGGCTTCGTATCATACACGACAGATCCACTGTCCTGAACTTTGGGTGGTTTGTTAAAAATTTGCCTGGTAACTCTAACTTCATCGAGATAATTGTCAGGGAAATCAAATCGATAGCTACAATTATCGACTATATTTTCAATACTTTTATATTGTCTAATTAATTTTAAAGCAGTGACAGGGCCAATTTTTTCAACTTTGCCTCCGAAATCGGTTCCACACATTATACACAAATCGAGAAAAGCCTCTTTGGACAAGTCCAGCTCCTCTCTTGCTTTTACGGAAGAGTATTCTAACATGGGTTGATTTTTCCATTGAAGCTGTCGTATGACAAGGCCTTCTCCGAACAGAGCAGCATCCATGTCTTCGGTGACTGTCGCATCAGTTATCCCATGCGTTGTCAAAGATGCACACATGGCTTCTGCTTCATGATCGTGACACGTCAGACACGGGACGCCTGCTTTCCGGAGAAAGTCTTTGGCTTCTTCTATCATGATTCTTGTTACTGGGGCTACTGCTTTTTCTAGGCGGGTAACGTAGTAGTCTGTCTCTGATGTTACGTCTAATAGCGTGGAACGTACGTCCGATAGTACGATGGTTTGTTTGTAGGTTGATATAATGGCTTCTATTGTTTTTAAATCTAATGTTTCTTCTTCTTCTAATGTTTTTGTCTCTAATGCTATAGCCGGGAGTTCTGTAGAGGTGGGCGGCTCTGGTATTAAAGTGGTTGGGTATTCAAACGGTTTTTCGTCATCAGGCTCTGTTGACGTTACAGGAAAGGGTATTTCTTCCTGTGGCAATGGAATGTCTAGTGGGATGGAAGGAAGTTGTTGAGATGGTTGTATCTTATCCAATGTTTCCATATCTTTATCTACATCTTCAGGTTCCAAAGTATCGGCTGGGCCAACTTCGGCCAAGGGTTGGGGTTGAGGTGGCTTTGTTTCTTCTACCGACTCGGTTGGCACAGGTTCCAATATAGAATCTGTCGTCGGACTGATTTCTGCTGATTCGTCTAGGTATGAAGGCTGGGGTTGTTCTATCGTCTCTGTCAATGTGGGTTTCGTGACTTCAGGTAAAGATGCTGTGCTTTCAGCAGACGATGGAAGTTGAGTCTCTTCTATTAAAGTAGGCTCTGATAAAATTGGTGGGCTGATATCGACAGATTCAGTCGGGTAAGAAGCTTCAGGCGGCTCTGCTTTCTCTAAAGACTCCAAAGTGGGTGTTTGTAGAACTTGAGCTGATTCTGGTATTACTGTCGAGTCCGCTAAGGGTGACGGTTGAGATAATTCGACCGTCTCTGGTGAATCGGGTGTTGGTGAATCGGGTGTTCGGATCTGGTCATCCGTGACTGAAGATGAAGGTTCAGCTGACTCTGGGCTGATTTCCGTTGATATTACGCTATCTGAAGAATCCGTATGCTCGTGCGCATCCTCCAATGACGTTTCCTCTGACAATTTGAGTTGCTGAGGAATATCCAGTATCTTATTCAATACCACGTCATTCAGCAGGTTGGCCTCCATCTGGCCAAGTTTTTGCGCTCTAGAACGTGTTTTTGAATATTTCAACAACTTGGCATCCAAAAGAACACTCGTAACTAACTTCTCTACTCTGGTTCTGATTAAAATATCGTCTAGAGTTGGACTAAAGCGGGGATTGCGTTGCATGAACACAGACATACCCACCACCTTACTTATCCTTAGTGAAGTTTTCGTATCTAACCCTTCGTCTCCGACTATTTCGACCAGATCTTTAATACCTGCAGTAACATACTCTGAGCGTAATACGTCCTTTTTACTTTTTATTTTTAATGACTCTACAATCTGCTCCCACTCTTTCAATCTCGTTTGTCGTTGATTTTCAGAACCCAATTGTGCTTTTGTCTTGTCCATAGCTGATTTCCTCCTAATACGTTCTTGCAACTTTTGTCTGATATTGGCATCCCCATCAAATATGAATATTGGCTTGATGTTGTAATATTTGAGAAAGGTAACTAATTGGTAGAACCCAAGCATATGAGGAAAGGAGTGAGAATTTTCTCCACGGTCTGCTCCCTTGACGAAACGCTGGATAAAGAGCGTCCCATCAATTGCTAGCGTTTTGTTTTGGAGGTCGTTAATGGATATTGGCGTTAGGGAGGATGGAGCGAAGCGTCTTAGGAGAGGTGTGAGGCCTTTAACGCCCATCTCTTGTCAAGAAAGCACAATACGTTTGACTGGTCAGTGAATAATGATTCCAACCCCTACAAAATAATCAGTAATTGCTTCGTCTCTGCATCTGAATGTTAAAAGCGTGGTTAGATAATACTTGTGAACGTGTCACAAATTAATTCTCCGATTTGGTCATATAATGTAATAATGAATGAGCAAAAGAAAAGTTTAAATAAAAAAAAATTTTTTTAGGATATAATTTATGCTTTTTTGGTTTACGTCATCTCAATCTCTAGGTGTTAAAACGCGATTCGTGATGACATCAGAACGCTATCCTGGACAAATTCTCCGAACTTCCTAATATGGTTAATAAAAATAAAGGGGATTGCCGATCTGTTAATGCTAAAAATTAGACTAATTACTGTATAATGCAGAAATTGCAAAGTTATGGATGTCATCGAACAACAGTTACAAGACTATTCTATTACCGCAACTAAATTGTTAAATATAAATCGTTGGTACTTTATTTGCAGCACGAGTAGAATAGACATTCGTATTGTATGTGTAATAAAGTTACTCGAAACTAGTTCAGCTTTAAGTAACGCAACTACTATAACACACCTACGTAAGGATAATTTACGCACTCACAAAACCTCAATTGAATTGCGGGCTGTAACAATGGTTTGTACTTACAACTTTTTAACACATGAATTTGGTTAGTCGTTATGTTTATTACAATTTTACGCGCTGAAATTAGGGATACAAACTAAGACGTGTTTATTCATCGTTAACAAACTATATACTAAAATAATTTAGGAATTTTTTTTTATAAAAAATGGAGCAGACTGCAACAAAACCAGACAAAGTGAACATACTCAAAATGGCTGGTGTGGCTGAAAAACCGAAGTGACTGATGACATTATAGGATTAAGTCTATATAAAATATGATATGACATTAAATCCACTATGACAAGAGACATTATGGGTTAATAGAGGAGCAGTGGAGGGAGAATTATTCGAATGCTGTTACATGTCCCATAGTAATAGTAAACAATTTCGCGATAGCTGCAAATAGAGGAATACTAACTATTGACGTTCACTTTAAGTAAATAAAATTTCTTTTGGGTTTAATAAAAAAACTTCTTCAATATCATAAATATAAAAGTGTGCAATACTTTTGCCCCCCCCTCCGTATAACTACATTGTTAGTACTTTAATAATTAATTGTTGTGCGTTCGTATCCTTCCATTTATTATTTAAATAATGAAATTTTTTACGATAGATTACAGAATAGCATGGTGTCAACTGTGTATTAGGGTAAGACTTTGTGGATTAATAACGTACTATCTATACTAGTGGATTAAGTAGTGATGTATTCCTGTACCGCCATTATCGTAAGAATTTAGGAGCGATCTAAAAATATTTCTTCAAGGATGATATTTTGTAGGTGATATATACGATGAGAATGGGATAGATGCATATTGATTGTAGTGGGATATATAGGTATAAATATCATTTGTATTGTTGTTAGTAATTTGAAGGATGAGAGTAAAATATATATATACATACTATATATTAACTATACTGAGATATGCAACCACTAACTGAATATTTATGCCAAAGTTAATATAATAAGATCTTCTTTATATCCACCTGTTATAGATACCTGCGATTTGGATATTGAGTTATAAAGTTATTGATTATGCGAGTTCGAAGATTTCTCGATTAATAAACTCTTTGATTATATACATCTTCTTAGGAATACGTACGTACCATACCTCAAGAAGATAAATTCCGTTAAGTTGACACAGAGTTCTTTTTTCCGATCACGATTAACAATATCCTCGAGTTTTTTGACATCCTTATACCAGCTAGTGCTATGAAGCCGATGTTAAGCCCAACGTGATTCGATTATATCATAAAGCTCTAATCCTTACATAAAAGATGGTTAATATTTAACCACAGGTTCCTCGCCAAGAAGTATCTGGCTATTAGAATGCATTTCTCCTGAAATTTACGATTTTTCTTAGTTCCCTCAATAATTGGACTTATTTTGCCTCGAGCTCAAGAATTGCAACCTTAATGCGCTCAAAAAGGATTGGGTATTGCAAACCAGTTTTTAATTCTGCAATACTAGCTTCATCTTCTATGATCTATTTTAGAAGCTTGGCATTCTCGGCCTCAAGTTTTATATATCCGATAATGTATTTAAAATGTATAACTGCATATCGATTGACAAGAGATCTTGTATTTACGTACATTAATTACGTATCGATATAGTTTTATTTTTCCGATACATATTAATATACAAATCATACACCATACACTGGTCATAGGTATTAATTACATGACATACATGACACAAGATTTAAAGTTAATCTGGTTGTAAAGTTATTAAAAACGTCCAAACCGGAATGGACAACTTCTGTGACAGTCACGTGTCTTTCTCACAAGCTGTTTGAACTTGGGTGTGCAAAGGGTATCACGTTTGAAACTTGCCTTTGTTGATGGCGGACCTGGATTACAGAGTTTAGCATATAAAGAATCAACGGATTTGTAAAAAATCTCTCGTATTCCTAGAAGTACTTCTATCTCACTGATAAAAGATGACATCTCTTTTACTGAAGCTGGAACTGATATTTGGCCAACGTGGATCATAGTATATATTCCTTGAATAAGATCCATCATATAGAAGTCTACTGCATAATCTATTAAACAATTACACAAAAGTTATTCACAAGAATCACGAGGAAAAAACCAACTATTATAATTTGTCTTACCAACACATTGGAAACCTAGTATTTTTGTGTCAGCACCCAAGTCTATGGCTGAATCAAGGCAGTCCTTCATAAAAATACCAATACGAATTAGATCGTTACAATTCTTATACATGTTGTTTTTTTCTGAAGGCGGACTGACTTCACCCACGAACATAACACCACTTGTTTGTAGCTGGTGAATAATAGAAACTACAAAGTCTGGTTGTTTGCTTCTTCCTTGCAATTTCCTTGCCTTGCTTTCGTCAAGGCCTGTGTTAGGCCATTCAACAATGTGTTTGTTTGGATCATGGAACACCTCCCTCATGATATGATCCAAATAGTTTGTGATCAATGTTGTTTCACTGGCTTCATTTTTAATCTTTCTGATGGGTAACGATTTTATACACTCTAAGATTACAAAGCCCATATTCTCTTTCATAGTTTGATTATTAGCAAGTTCTACCAACAGCCAATCCGTGGCAAAGCTACTGGAATTCTTTGTTGCTTTCTTGACTGCGTCCCTAAACTTTAATTCACATTCTGAATCCAATTCTGTTTGTTGTGTTGGGATGGTTTGTTGGTGGATTTTATCGAGGAAAGGAGAACCAAATATATTAATCATAATTTTTGAGTGAGAACCTGGAAAAAGCAGGAAGATCGATGACAGTGACAATATTTCGTGTACGTTTGATTCAACGAATAGACCATCAGTCTTTGCGATCTTGATAGACTCATTTTGATATTGACGGAATAATTGAGATACATTGATATCTCCTATCCTAAGATCGTCGGCCAGATCCTCATTCTCGAAGGATAGTTCATTAGGAATATCATCAATTATTATAGGGCCATCCTCCTCCTCAATGAACAGATTGTCTGTTGGAGATTCTATTAATAAATGCTTTAATATTGGATTGCATGGCGATGGTGTAGTGTCTACATCTTGACGTTGCTTCTTTGACATTCGTTCTTCATTATAATCTGTATCTTGTCGTCTTCTTAAAAAATAAGGTTTTTTATCCATAGCCGATTCGTCCTAGGTGATATGCGAATAAATCATTATTGAATTAGTATCTCAGGGATGTGTGATAGCACTGCACTGTTTATGTTGTTTTCAGACATTAAACCTTTTTACCTTGTTAGCATCCTTTACTTTTTGTTCCATAAAATTCAACTGAGACTTATGAACCATCTTCGAAGTATCGTTTAAACGTTCATTTCCAGTTTGCAAAAAATTCACAACACCTTCAGCCTAAAAATTTATTAAAATTCAAAATTTGTTTCGAATATGTAATCCCGAAGGCTTAATATTAACTACACGTTACCTCGACCAATTTTCGTTTTTTATCTAATGTATGGAGTTTTTGGTCCAACTTTTTGTCTTCCCAGAAATCTTTCACTTCCTCCGATGTTTTCTCATTCTTGTTAAAAAATTCAATTGCAAAATATTATGTTCTAATACTAACAAAGTTCATCTCTAACTCCAATCCAGCCTAACAAATATGATGTATCTGTAGCGGAGCCATAGCCTTTCATATACGTAGCCGTAGCCAGTATACTAGCTAGCAGAGTAACATTGCACTCTCAACGGAGCCGTAGCCTTTCATATACTTAGCCGTAGCCAGTATACTAGTTGATAATACGTTACAACATTCGCGTGCTGGGATCCCGCAAGCCGTAGCCCTTAGGCAACAAAACGAATGTCTACGCGATTGACCATAATAAAAAACTGACTTACCACAAAATATTCCAAAGCTTCTGCGACTGTATTGTATTGTTCGTCCATTTCCTTATAACTTCGTTTGATTATAGTAAGTTCTGAAACATATTGACTTTGAATCTTGTCCTTCGGGAGGGAATCTTTTGTTTGCGCCAGGTAATTTAAGTAACCGAACAGCGATGGTTTCGAAATAGAAATCCAATATGCTGTAAAATTTAACGAATATAATGAGAATACGATTCCTTAGATGTGATATACCATTATTTACCTGGTTCGCTGAGCTTTTTACAGACGTCTTCATTTAGTTTCATTGAGTAACTTTTTGACGGTTGGGTCACGTAAATAATCTTTATTTTTTGCAACGTCATCGTCATGTGACCACGACACGACACGATTAACAAAACCATTGACCAATATTATATTAATACAGGTGAAACACCAATTCAAATTTGATATAAGAAAAGTTGATCTAAAAAATAGTCTATATGAAACTATCTCTATATAAGAAAGTTACTAATAAACTCTCGGTATAAGAAAGATTCTAAGATTTTTTACTATGGGTCCCGATCACTTTCTTATATCGCGAGCCACTTGTATAAGGAATTTAAATTTGAGATCGATAGTGCGATAAACATTTTTATTTGTTGGATATATGCCATCCATTGAATTTTATCATCGCTATAACATGGTAATTGATAAGGGGGGTATATATAATCGTCCGATTAAGATTAGCCGTGCAGTTTCACATCACTGAGATTCCAACGCGTCTCAACCTGAGATGCACCTTTTTTCATACGATTATATAGAAAAAAAAATCTATCATGTCCACATTGCACCTATATTGCATCTTAACCATGAGTAATAGAATATCGGCAGGTCAAAAAGTATGGATAGGAAATTTAAGAGCACAGTTCCAAGGACTAGGTGATACAAAATTTTCTGAATACGCTTCTAGTACCTCGTCAAGTAGAACTCCCGAATCTTTTGAATTATCACAATCAATATAATAAGTTTTATTGCCTCAAATGTCGGTCCACCACCTACCATTTAGATACCAATGACCACATATTAAATTGCTGATATCTCTCAATTAAGACTGCAATCATTTGGCTTTAAAATGTTATAAATTTTATTGGTACTTGTTTGAGAAAATATGGAGAATTAGCTATATTGACGTTAAACGCCTTATAAGTTTCTTCACTTTCCTCCTCTACATCATTTCCTTTACTGTATCGACTTTCTCTTTAATAGTTATTTCTTCATACCCTCATCGATGCTAATGAATTCCGTTGCTGATAGTGCGTTACTTAATAGGACCATATTAATAAGTCGACATTATGTCAAGCTTGTAATTTATTAGGGAAAACAGGACAATTCGATCGAATTTTATTCTTATATAACGGACTCCGCTATACCTTGGTGTGGATACAACGGACTCATTACACGAAATCCGTTGTATCGAGCTAAGTGTTTTCCAACAGAATTAGTTAGTTATATCACCGTTTAATATAAAAGTCCGCTAAAGTTCGATTAATACATATAATAATGATTCACTTGTGACTCCAAGATAATGGTATGCAGATAGAATGCAATAGTAACGCAATTGAATATTTTTCGGAAGTCATCTCAAACAATAAACATACTGAGCAATTGATTAAACATAGGTCAAAAATACGAACATGGGATTTAATGTTTTTGTATCCACTCTCGTCATTAATATGTCTGTCCAGTAAACTATATTTTTTGGCCGAAGTAAACGAGGTGTGAGAGTAATCTTCGGCTTTGAATCAAAAAGTAACGCTAATTTCTACTTCAATTAATTTTTGAGATTTTTAAAGCTTCTGTTATTATGAATGCAATAAAATCCCTTCTGTTTGATGGATAACATTGTAGACAAAATCATGATAGTCTTATTATTATTGTAAAAAGAACGTTTATTATTATATATTAATTTTATCTGTCACACAAGATCTAAATACAGTATTACTTTATTCGTCTGTTGAGAATATTTAAAATTACATGATCGTTGCTTTTAAATATCGCCACACATTACCAGAAAAAGGAATTCTCCTCATTCACGTGTAAAACAAGGCCTCAACTGAGTCCAGATAATAGATTTTTTATTTTTATTTTCTGTGTGGTATTTCAGTTTATGTCTTAGCGTAATAATAAATTTGATATGTTCTATTAATATAATTTTAGTCACACAACTATACATATGGTTTACCTGTCCCAACTGTGTGACTGTAGAGATGTTTCATTAAAACATCTATCCACACTATGATAATGTGGTGAACGCGATGGGCTAATCCTGAGGGGTTTTCTCAGCATCGCTTCATTATGGGCCTGCGTGATTAACGATTATAATTGTGATAGCCGCCACGCATACGACTCGCCACGATAACCACATGTCTAGACAAATATTCCCGACTCTACGTATTCCTTCTAAGATTCAGGGAAGCTTAAAACGAGCGTAGGTGTTATTGATATTTCGCTTGGCGTCATCGAACTCTTTATACTCTTTCTTAGTTCAGCGATTAAGGCATTAACTCTTCGTTAAGCGTCGAGCGTAACCTAATTGCAACGGAGTACAAGTAATTCATAAAATTATAACACTGTCATAGGCTAACGATATCTCTAAATGATATCGGAGTTAGCTTCCGGTTCAGTGAGTTATCCAGCAATAATAATTGTGAACGCTCTCAACGGTTGATGAAGTCGAATATCTCACAAGAGAAATTCACATTCACCCAACAGGAGTCATACCAGGCGAAACGTTATCCATACTCAGAGGTTACAATGTATGTGGAGTTGAGGTACTCCTTCGATATTTTAAGTGAGACGAATGGTGAATTGTTTGTTGTATCCAACCGTATGTGTATGCATTAGACAATAATACGCCTTTCTATACGCACTAGAAATAATGATAACATTAACTCTCTTTCACTTAACACTATCGTTATTAGCTTCATGTTGGTTAAGAAAGTTACTAAGTGAAACCACTACGCGGGCCGACGGAAAGACTCGTCCCGCTCTGATATAAATAATAATATTACAGTATTAGCGTAACATCTTTGATTACATCGGTCTTCTCAGCGAAGAGTATCACTCCGTTTTATTAAACGTAGGTATTTTTAGCGAATGTATCCTCCGTAACATGATTTTTCTTTGCGAGTAACATCTGTCTCAGCTCACGAGATGTATAACGTATATTCTTCTTCACTCACTTTCGTTACGAGGGGTTTAAAGAGTATTTAAAAATTGCATTTATTATCCTTTCGTTCGAACAAATCAGTTTCAATAATGGATCGCTTGCAATAAGCTAGCAAATTTCACGACAAGCATTCAGAAGACCGACATGCTGTCAAAGTCTAACGATGTTTTGTCGATCGCCGATTTTCAGGGACATTACGTACGTGTATGCAGGGTAAATCATGTTTATTGACGGTTGGATTGGTAATTAGATATTATTTCAGAACAAGAGTTAGAAACTCATTTTTATGACATGAGCGTAAAACGCTTGTGAGCCAGCTGAACTTTAAGCTCGGAACAGAAGTCGTTTTTATAACCAGCTCAGTAATAATCCATGTTGTAGACAGTAAAAGAAAATGATAATTTCGCATTTCGTTCACACCATTATTATTATTATTAAACATTAGTGTTAGTGAAGTATGTCATTTAAACTTTATTACTATCCAGAGTCACAATAAACAAACCCCACAATTTCAAAGTCTATACCTCCTTTGGTTCAACCTGTTGCATTTAATGCACATCATATTGCTTAGTTATTAGTTTAAGTATAACAACCTCTCATTTAATGCATGGTTATACAGCAACTTTAGAAGCTGCGTCTAATAAAGAACACGAATTAATGCATGATTATACTGCCCAAGATAACAATATACACTCCCTCTCAAACCCAAAGCACATGCATCATTCAATGATTTGTTGAAATCATTTAATGCGCCCCTTTTTAATGTTAACTATAATAATGTTGTACCTCAGTTGGGGACCTGTCTCAGTTCTGGACTGAGACGACTGGGTTCTGGACTGAGACGACTGGGTTCTGGACTGAGTGTCTGGGTTCTGGACTGAGACAACTGAGTCCTGGACTGAGTGACTGGGTTCCGAACTGAGACAGGTCCCAAACTCAGACACAACAATAATAAGGGTAAAAACATTAACGACGAAAAGAAACGCGAAACATTAGATCTGTACGGAATTGGAAAAAAATTTTTTGGTCGTGATTCGCGTGCACAGGTGAAACCTGCTTAAACAGCGCGATCTCTAAACCGGGAAATCCGTGAATGTGCTATGAGTGCGCATTATCCAAAAGCTTATTAATAAAGACGTCTTGTGGTTTTCGATGATGCATTAATATCATGACTCGCTCATTAAAATCTATTAATAACACACAGTGAAATTTACTTTAACGAAGATTGTTTTATAACGAAGCTCTTTCCATTTTATATAAAAAGATAATTTACTTAGGTGAACTTTCAGGTAACGAAGCAAAACTGTGGAACAAATGTCTTCGTTAAAGGCGTAATAATTGTATTATATGATCCCGCTAGTTGAACTGGTTGATACGTACATCAAAACCGTTTATCTGATAACTGACCGTAGGGTTGACTTGTACACGCGAAATTAGTCCTTGGCTGTCAGAGCCAGGCTATATACTACTATACAGCATTATATGGCATACGAAACTGTTGACAATTACACTTATCATAGACGTGGACAACTATAAATACGTCAATTAAATTCTTTGCCATATGGTACTTGTAATAACAAGAGAAAGGGTGTTGTATTATTGTAATGCTATTTTAAGTTGTTATTGTATACCATTCCTCACTTGCTCAGCCTATTGCTATGATTTTCAGTAACTCCGACCATTATGAAAAATTTATTTCTGTAAATAGTTAAGCACCTGATTGCACGCTTAGAGCTTCCCTAATTTCTGTCTGTAAATGAATTTTGTACAATTTATTTGAAATGGTAACGTCACGATTTACTCCATGACCTAACAATGGTATACACTACCCTACCATAAATCACCGGATTTTTTGTCACGTGTTTGAAATAGATATGAAATTTTTGTATTTTCTA